TAAATAAATAAATAAATAAATAAATTACTAATCAGTGAAGACCTAATACAGTCAACACAGGTGTACATACACACCGTGCGCACACACAAAACATACAATTAAGAACAAATTAATTTTAAAGAAAATACTGCTCAACCCAATGCTATTATTATTGTCACTATAATACATCTAGCTCAGGACAGATGGAACTAGGTGGTTTTGGTCAGAGACCATCCCCCCATATCTAATGCAGTGATGCCCTTCAGGTCAGATCCGCACGTGGAGCAAGACTGCTTTATTATTATATTTGCCACACAGAGATGGGGAACAGAGACTGAAAGGTCTGCCAAAGCATAACCTTTAGAGTTCTCACACTTAAGCGTGAAAGCAGACTCTGACTCAAATATAATTTCCTTTCCTTTCCATTGAACAACATGATTTCATGCCTCAAGACATGAAGACAAAGATGAATTCCACATCTTAGTCCTGTGGGTAACTGATGTTGTGTCCTGTCTTTCAGCTTAACATTCTACACACGGAACTGGCCAAACAGCTTGCGGACACAATGGTTCTCCCCATTATCCAGTTTCGTGAAAAAGATCTTACAGGTAAATTGTTGATGAGATTCTTTGTAGGTCAGAGGTTTTCCCGATATTTATCTCCTTACTACGTAATTTCCAGTAATAAAAGTGAGATCAAGGAAAGAGAAACATCTTTTTTTTCTTTCCTCCATGTCTTTCTCATTAGTGTTGCTATTGTCACTACATTAAACAATATTTTCACTTTGTTTCAGTTTTATTTTAACTTTATTTTGGTTGCACATGTGGAACAGAAGAACAAACTACTTCCCTGAAAATTGATGTTCAAAGTTGATGCCTTCCTTGTTTGGGCCCATTTGATCTGCTTTGTTAGGAAGATTGTGTATTTAAATTCTGAAATGTTCAATTCAGAATTCCTACCACTGCTCTGGTATCTGTCTCAAGGGAAGTGCAGTTAAAATACCTTTAAAAATAAATATTTCTTTGTGGAGTTATTACCAATCCTGCCGACCTCATATCGGTCCATGCTCTAGTAATTAAACCTTACTGTAGAATGTGGGCTGAGGAGATCAGCAAAATGGTCCTATGGATTTATGCCGGCATAAATGTAATTGAATATATTGTGACAATGAATTGTAACTAATTAATGAATAGCCACTTGCTTTTCTGGTTATGTGCCAAGTAACATTAATTAGCAGCAATTCACTGCTCCAGTTTTACACAATTACATTTACATAATTGGTTTCTGGCCAAAGCTTGGTTAAAAATGTATTTATAGTAATAAATACTACTAGAGTAGTGTAGGTATGTGGGAGTTTGAAATGAAGAATACTTTGAATGTTCAGAGTTTTATTAGTTGATATCTCAGTGGATTCCCAAAAAAACTTCCTAATGGATTCTTCCTCTTAGGGTTTAAACTGTTCTGTTTCTCTCTTTTTCCCCTCTAGAAGTAAGTACGTTAAAGGATCTCTTCAGCCTTGCTAGCAACGGTATGTTTCATGTGTTGTCCTTTGACTGGAATTTGCTGATGCTATGCACACCTACCTGAACTGTCATGCTCAAAAGTGCTTTTGATGCTTGCAGAACACGATGTGTCCATGGCAAAGTATAGCAGGTTGCCCAAAAAAAAGGAGAATGAAAAGGTAAAACTCTTTCTATATAGCCTCATCTAGTCAAAGTAATTGTGTTACCCTGCAGGAAAACTGCCAAATGAACATGCTGCCGTATTTATTGCGAATATGGAGTTGGAATGGGTAAAAGATTGAGTCCTGTTTTATATGCACATATGGACATATAGCGATGATGATGTGTCTGTCACAGCACAAGTCAGTTTCTGCAGATGATGTGCAAGTAGTTATTGGCACATAAGTCACATAAGTCATTGGCTGAAATCCTGTTGCCAGACGTTATGCTGCATAAGGCTGATGATATTGTCAGCCACTAATAGTTTTAATTTAAAATGTTCTGGTTCCACCTCCTGTCCAGAGATTCTGAGGCTCCCATGGGGATCCTTTTCATTGTGGGGAAAGTGTTGCAGGATTTGCTGGTGGTGGAAACATCTAATTTCTCTGCTACATGACCACTAACTAGGTTGCTCTTGAAACTGTAGTCTGAAATTTTAGCCCAATTTCCTCCTCAGAAGCTTTGAAGCTCTGCTAGAAGCCTGGTGATTTTAGTGGGACATGAAGGTCATTTAACATGAGTGTCCCTTGACCAGTTCACTCAGTGTTGAAAAGGGCCCATCTGCTGATACAAGGTCTGTTTTTAACAGATGTTCTCTTGTTCAGTTAAAGGCAGAAGTTGCAAAAGAGGTAGCCAGTGCTCGGAGGAAGCAGCACCTCTCTTCACTCCAGTATTACTGCGCCTTGAATGCTCTGCAGTACCGCAAGAGAATCGCCATGCTGGATCCCATGCTAGGATACACACGGTCACAGGTATGTCCCCTAAGCACAATTTCATAGGAATATGGAAATCTTTTGAGTATGTTACACATCTAGTCCAATATCACCAACACACTGGCTGGCAGTATATGAAAAATCCCAGTGGATAGTATTTTCATTGGACTACTAAAGTGTCATAAACAGGCAGATGTTTGCATCTGCACGATTGTTGATTAGGCTGAACACTGAAGAACGTGGTTGGCAAAGGGAGTATAAAGTCCCAGGATAACCCACGTATGATATTGAATCTTCAAGATTTGGAAGCTCCAAGAATAGACCAAAATCATGAAGAATCAGTTTATGTTTATATCGTGTTTCATCTCGGGGGGTTGTAGAACCAGTTGTTTTGCTCCCCTTCTGTAGATAAAGTAAATCTACTGGTGTCTGGCTCCTGCTTTGTTGGAAGAAGCAGCACCCTGTATCAGAAAAGCTGGAAAGGAAATGTAGCACACAAAACAAACAAACAAACAAACAAATTAATTAATTAGACTTCTACCTGACCCATTTAGTGGAGAAGTCACTACTCTTGGGTGCTTGCAAAAAAATAACAAGAATATACAGTTAAAATACTGAACATATAAAAACCAACTCCCCCCCAATAAAAACCTCCGGTCTAGCAAATATTCCAGTGGTTGAAGCCAAATCCAGGGCGTTGCCTGCTGAGCAGAGGGAGAGGGGGAGTCCCTAGTGTAGTGTAGTGCAGCCTTTCTTGGCATTTAGGAGCAGTGGCTCTCCAGGATTTAATTTTTTCAACCCTACCTGGAGGCGATTGTGATTGAATCTGAGATCTTCCTTTTGTAAAGCAGGGTCTGTTTTGCAGAGCAGCAGGCTCTTCCCCTGCATTGTGAGAAGCAAGTGTGCCCTGTAAAGGAAACTCATTCATTGTATCACCCGAGCTTGTTTTCAACTAGTAGGACAAAAATAGCCATATTTCTTTGGCAGGTCAGACCAGTTCTGCTGCCTTTTCAGTCTCCTCGCTCCTATGAGAGACTATCGACAGTATGCGGTTCTGTATAAACAATCAGACCTGGGAACAATTTTAAAAACCGGGGAAATTTGGATCAGATACTGGCTTTAGCTGTTGACAAATCTTGATAAAAAAAAAAAACTAGCAGCCATTACCTGACTTCCATAAAATGGAGACATCTATTTGCATATTGTTGTTTAATGTGGTTGCTATGTAGCCCTATGATGGCCCAGTCATTATATACTCACATTATTATTTGTTTGCAGATCTGACTCCTTTTAATCTCTTTCTAAAATGTTCATTCTACTTATTACCTCACTGCTCTCTGTGACTTGAAGTACTTGGGGTCCTTTCTTATATCTTTCAGATTAAATTTTTTAAGAAAGGAGCTGAGATGTTTTCCAAAAAAATGGACAGCTTTTTGTCATCCGTTTCAGACATGGTTCAGAGGTAATTCATTCCAATTTACCTTTTGCTGCATAAGTGTGTGAAGGAGTGGTAAGACTGGCAACTTCCATACTGTCCCCCTCATCTCTGAGAACAGTGGCTGCTCTGTGTTTCATTCTTACCTGCTAATGGAGATAAATGGAGCCAAATAACAGCATTGATAGCAGAGGGTAACGGGGAGTAAGACGCTCAAGGTGACGGGTGCAAAAAGAGCCAGTATTGTGACATTCAGCTGCAGCTTTGCATAGACAAGATACGAATAACTTTGGGCCTTCCAGAAGTTGTTGTCTTGCAGCTTCCATCAGTCTTGGCCAGTCTAGCTAATTGTGACAAATGATGGCAGCTGCAGTCCAACCAGTAGCTAGAAGAGAAGTGGACACAATGTCTTGGAGGCCACATATAACCGTCCCAAGCCATATTTGGGTACACTGAAAAAAACATTATTTTCTATGATTCAAAGTCTCTAGGAGTGCAATAAAAGATATTGAAGGACCCCTCCAGCCCAGAATCACAAAAATGAAAGCAGCAGATGACGCCTAGCAAGATTTTGTTTCAACAGTTCATACTTTTTTTGACTCATTTTGAGGACTGCCCTGCACCAGCCAGTCTGGGGCATGGAAAATTGACCACTAAATTCTTTGGAATTGACTACCCCATTGTAAAGGTTCACGTCTCCCTTCCCTGGTGTACAGCCTACTCATACTGGAGGACTGGGTTCCAAACTTTTGTAAAGCAGGGCCTGTTTTGCAGAGCAGCAGGCTCATCTTACTACTGTTCCCCTTTTTGTAATCAGAGATCTTGATTGCCTCCTTGTTACAGATGGATTCAGTTGAGAATTGACCCCGTCCTCTCTGTTAGGGAAGATGAGACTGCTGACTAGTATCAGCGAAGCACAAACTAAAGAAGTGAGGAGAAAATAAGCCAGTCCACCCCTACTGTAAACCCTCTAGATTTGTTGGGCTGAAATTCCCTTCCTGAGGGCCAAATTCCAAAGCCATGGTAGCTGGAAATGAAGAGAACTAGAATTTTGCAGGAGTTGAGATTGCTAAAACCAAAACCACAGCTGGCTGGATAGCTCAGTGGTTTTGGTGTCCGATTGTGGCACAGAAGTTGGGAGTTAGATTCCCCACTGTGCCTCCTGTGAGTAGAGCCAGCATGTGTGGTCTTGGGCCAGCTGCACAGTCCCAGGGTGGCCCTAGAACAACAAGGGAATGGGAAACCGCTTCTGAGAACTCTCTACCTGGAAAATCCTGAAAAGAGTCGCCATACGTCAGAATTGACTTGACTGGCACATTACAGTGGTGCCTCGCTTAGCGATTGCTTCGTTTAACAAAGAATTCACTTAACGATGTATTTCTTGGAGGAATTTTCCTCATCGTTTAACGATGTTCTCTATGGGGGATTTTCACTTAACGATGTCCGTTTTCGCTAATTTTTAAGTGTCTTAAAATGTTTGAAACCTGTTTTAAATGCTTGGAATCGGTAATCCACCTTGCGAAACATGTGCAAACTTAATTTGGCTCTGTTCTGAGTCTTCGTTAATTTTTGGTGATTTTTTGTTTTTCCTCTTTAAATGCATTGAACGGACAGTTCAATGGATTTAAAGGGGAAAAACAAAAAATCACCAAAAATTAATGAAGACTCAGAACAAAGCCAAAATAAGTTCGCACATGTTTCCCAAGGTGCACTACCGAATCCAAGCATTTAAAACAGGTTTCAAACATTTTAAGACACTTAAAAATGAGCTAAAACGGAGATCGGAAAGCCATTCAAAAGCATTGCAGCTGGCTGCAATGCTTTTGAATGGCTTTCCGTTGGGGGAAACATTATTTCACTTAGCGATGTTTCCTATGGTGATTTTCGCTTAAGGACGGTAATCCGTTCCCATTGGAACGGATTAACTGGTTTTCAATGCATTCCTATGGGAAATGGTGTTTTGCTTAACTATGTTTTCCCATAGCGATGGGTTTTTTTGGAACCAATTAACATCGTTAAGCGAGGCACCACTGTATTATTATTTGTCTTCATTGTGTAACTTGGACAATGGTCTTCAAATTTTTGACCCATCTGAAAGGTGCTAGGTCAGGGAAAGCTGACTTAGGCTGCCTGATTTCACAGACTTTGAAAGTAGCTGCTAGTCCATTTCTTTGCAGTGCAGCAGATATTTTAAAATGTAAAATAGAAATCAAATAGGCCAACTCAAAGTACATCGCAGCATAAGACACAGTGACAGCCTTTTATGAAAAGCATTCTGATTTTTACAGATATAAAATTACCTGGTTTAAAAATACACTAAATGCCAGAAAGTCCTGTGTGTGCGTGCACAAGCACATTGTACCTAGAAAACGAGGTTCTTCGAAGCATGCTCTTACCTTTTTCCTGTTTTTTGCAGCACCTGGAGATTTATGTTAATTTTAAAAAATGTGTTTAAATAGTATTAAAGAAAGTGTTGCTACTATATTGTGCTCCAGATTTGTAGACTTTCTCGTGCAAGTAAGCTATGATAATGAAGTGCTTTAACTTTACAATTTATTCACCTGTTTGTGTATTGCAGTGTACAGGAAGAATTAGATGTCGAAGCTGATGGCATGCGGGTAGCTCAGCAAGATCTTCTTTCCGTGGGTGAATCGGTCTACACACCTGACTATGATGTGGCAGCACCTCACATCAACAGGAACCTTATCCAGAAAGCTGGCTACCTGAATCTCAGAAAGTAAGGAGGAAGACCTGGAAAATGTGTCCTGCTTAACTAGGTAGATTTAGATTGGTACTTCAGCCAGTTCCTGGAGGTTCAGCACTCTTGTCCGATGCTGAATTTGGAGATAAAGGTGCCTGAAAGTAAACTGTATCTGTAATTCATTTCCTAAAAGTACACAAAATGTAACGGTTTAGATCCAATTCTTATTCAATGCAACATTTAAGTCACATTGATCCAGTGGCTGAAATCCTGTTGCTCAGCACGCTAGAGTAGGGCCATTGCCTGTGTTGATTAAACTTCTCCATAAATACCATTTATTCATATGGGTCTAATTTGTGACTTACTTCATTTTAACAGCTGACAACTAGAGTAGGCCCATTTAGTCAGTTGAACTTATAGAGGAGGTGACTCATCAGGTCTCCACTGATTCAGTGGGTCTACTCTGCTACACTAAGCAACAGGATTTCGGCCACTGAGTCTTCCTTGTTTAGACTAACACCGATTGTATTTAGGCCCAGTCCCTTCTCCAAGATATTTGATTGTAGCCACCATCACATATTATGTGCTGGAAGGGCTGAACTATATATAAGGGGGTACAGTTGCCACATAGTTCAACATCTGTGTTAGTTCCTATGATTCAGTCGGTCTTCTCCAATTGCGACTAACAATTGGAACCTCAGTGTGTGAAATTTAGCCAGAAATAAAAAAAAAACTATGTCAGACATTCCATTAGAATCTGAAGAGACCATAAATATATTTCATTCTGTCTTTTTTGCTTTTTAAAAAAGTTTCCAGATAGATTTCATGTTGTAGACTTGTTAGTGGCAAAATATGTTAATGTTTACAAAATAATATCTAAGGTCCAAGCAATCTTGGTGTTGAGAAGAAACCACATGTCTGTAACCCATGAGAGGTGCTGTGCTTTTATTTAATGGTTTTATCTCACAGCACTTCACTGCATGCTATACTTGATCTCTCCTCGGCTGAAGAATTTGGGAGGAGTATAGGAAGATCCATAGCAGGAAAGTTGAGAAGACAGATTGTGTGTACATTTTAGTTGTTTAAAATATTTCTATATTGCCTTGGATGGTTTCAAAAGTAACACCTTTTTTGAAAAAGGAAAACATGCAGTAAAAACATGGTCTGTTTGCAGTATTGCCTTGGATGGTTTCAAAAGTAACACTTTTTTTGAAAAAGGAAAACAGTAGAAACATGGTCTGTTTGCAATAGGAACAACAGTAAACTCATAAATTGCTATGGAGAAAATTGGCTTTGGAGAACACATGATAAATAATAATCATGTGACGTCAAGTCAGTTCTGACTTACGGTGACCCTTTTCAGGGTTTTCGAGGTAGCAAATACTCAGAAGTGGTTTACCATTCCCTTCTTCCGAGGGTGGTGCTGTGGGCTAAACTATAGAAGCCTTTATGTGCTGCAGGATCACAAGACCAGCAGTCATAAGATCGAATCCACGTGATGGAGTGAGCTCCCGTCGCTTTGTCCCAGTTCCTCGCCAACCTAGCAGTTCGAAAGCATACAAATGCGAGTAGATAAATAGGGACCACCTCGGTGGGAAGGTAAACAGCGTTCCATGCATAGCTGCGCTGGCCACGTGACAATGGAAACTGTCTTCGGACAAAATGCTGACTCTATGGCTTGGAAACGGGGATGAGCTCCGCCCCCTAGAGTCAGACACGACTGACTAAAATGTCAAAGGGAACCTTTACCTTTATCTTCCAAGGGTGCCCTGGGATTGTGTAGCTTGCCCAAAGCCACATAGGCTTGAATGAATGGAACTCACAGCTTCTGTCTAAACCACTGAGCTATCCAGCCAGCTGGAGAAAATGTGCCTAGTCCCATTTCCCTCCGAGGATTTGTTTCACTGCTGAGAAAGAAATGATGCCTGCCAACGGACAACATTTACTGTAATGGGATAGGTCTAGCAACCCTCTTTTTTTGTTTTCTGCAGTAAAACAGGTCTGGTGACTACAACGTGGGACAGGCTGTACTTCTTCACTCAAGGGGGCAACTTGATGTGTCAGCCCAGGGGAGCTGTTGCTGGAGGACTGATCCAGGATCTGGACAACTGTTCTGTTATGGCCATTGATTGTGAAGATCGAAGATACTGCTTTCAGATTACCACCCCGACTGGAAAACCGTAGGTATCTCAGGGTCCCTGCTCGGCAAACCTTGGGAAAGTTTTGTTTCTGGACTTCAGCTGCCAGAATCCTGCTGCTAACCTGGCAACTGGCCATGCTGGTGGGAGATTCTGGGCACCATCGTAAAAAAAAAAAAGGATCCATGTTGTGCAGAGGAGGTACCGTTTTTCTCCTTGTAATGGTGTCCGATGTCGTGAAAGGCATATCCAGCTTGGCCTGGAATGCTTCCCCACGTGCCAGGCCGTTCTGAGAGTCGGATCTCAGCCCACACTTTCCCTCGTAACCCCAAATCCTTATGCTGGCTTGATGTGGGGGACAAATTAATGGAATCTTCTGAGATATAGTGGATGCTGCTGAATCTTCAGCTGTATTGCTCTGGATGCTTGGCATGTACTTGAGAGGACTTTACATATCAAAACAAAGACAGAAAATAAATGTTTGTGTATTCCTTGTAGGGGCATAACTCTTCAGGCAGAAAGCAAGAAAGAATACGAGGAGGTAAAAATACTTCACCATGTGAACCTTTTTCATTTCTTTGGTTGAGTTCCAAAAGTCACTTTTCCCCCTCCTTCCTATATTCTTTTGCAGTGGATATGTGCCATTAACAACATCTCCCGGCAGATCTATCTTTCGGACAATCCTGAAGTGAGCATAGTTCTGTTTTGAATTGATTTGTTCCCCTAAAAGAACCATTTTATCCAGTGGTTTCCCCAGCTGCTGAAGCATGTGGAAGATTTTCCCTTTCAAAGGTTGCTCTTTTCATTTCAGGCTGTTGCCATCAGGTTAAATCAGACAGCTCTACAAGCTGTGACCCCAATCACAAGCCTTGGGAAGAAGCAGGACAGCCTCTCCCCCAGGTACCATTGCATGTTTGAACAGCCAAGTTCGCCTTGGGTTATGACTGAATGGCCCCTATGTATACAAAAGGAGCATCTCAGGTAGAAGTCTGGCCTGGGACTCCTTCCTCCTCCCGTGGCTTGCTAGTTTGCAGCCAGCAGGAGGCTTTAAACATGCCAGTAGGTACATTCTGGTGTCAGTCCAGTTGCTATTTGGAAATGCAAGAGACCTGTTTAGTCAGAGGGGTTTGTGTATGCGTTGGGACTAGTTGGAGTGCGTGGCTCTGGATTCCCCCCTGCTCATGTCTTGCAAAGGTTTGAATGTGTTGTATGTTTAACCTGGGCGTGGGGGATCCTCCTACCTACATTGTGTAGTGGCATGTTGAAAAATAAGATTTTGGTAGGCAGTTCAACTGCAGATAAACACACATGTGCTTAATAAAGGTGCCAGATAAGAGTACAAATTCATATATTCTTACTGTTAATCCTGAAGCATGAAGGGCATGTATTCATGATGATGTACTAGGATTCCCCCCCGCCTAAAAAGTATCTTTTAGTTATCCAAATGTTATGCTTATAGTGTTTCAAAATCTACTTGGGCACCAACTGAAGGTTGATTTGCAGATTCTTACCTGGTTTTCCTTTCACACCAGGCCACTTCCTTTCCAGCTGTAGTCACACGGCCTTTTTCATGTGGCACTACTGTCTCTTCTTTTGCTTTAGCCAGGATGTGAAAAATGTAGAGATGCTGAACGACAGAAGCGTCCCGGAGGAGCCTGCTAGCATTCCAGACACTGCCGAGTTAATTGCACCTGGAACACCCATTCAGTTTGACATCGTACTGCCTGCGATGGAGTTCCTTGATCAGAACAGGGGAGGCAGGTACAGACAGTGAACAGATCTCCCTTTGACCCTTTTAAAATGGTATCAGAAAGTGGTCATCTAGTAGTAACCCATGCTGTGTGTGTTGCAGGCGCACAAACCCATTTGGGGAGTCTGAAGATGGCAAGAAAGAGGATGAGGCAGGTTTGTATTGTGCACATTGTGCTATCTGAAGAAATCCGCTATTGGTGAAAGAGGATGAGGCAGGTTTGTATTGTGCTATCTGAAGAAATGCACTATTGGGAAAGATAGATGATTATAGTATCTTGAGAGAGTGGTTAGGGAAAATAGGCTCCATCTTGCCTTTCTTTTTCTTCCTAGACTCCCTCTTGAAGCAGATGTTTGTAGTGCGTTTTCTGGGATCTATGGCTGTTAAATCCGACCAGACCGTTGAGGTAATCTATGAAGCGATGAGGCAGGTGTTGGCAGCTCGGGCCATTCACAATATCTTCCGCATGACAGAATCCCATCTTTTGGTCACCAGCAATGACCTCAAGTAAGCAAATCTTCTTTACCTCCTTCCTTCGTGCTCACTCTCTCACTTACTGGTTCCACATCTTTTTTGTGTGTTTTGTGTTTCTCATTGAAAATCTCTTATTGGGCATGTCTCTGTTTTCAACCGAGTCAGCAACCTGACTGAGGTGGGATTTCTAGATTTGAACTGGGAAGGGGCAGTCCTTACTCAGTCCTGTTCTCCTCTTAAGTTTGCTCCGGGTGGCTGGAGCACTCTTCAGAGTGTGAGAGAGGCTAAGAACTGGCTGGAGCACTCTTCAGAGTGTGAGAGAAGCTAAGAAGTGGAATCAGACATGAGTCCTAGGTAGACCAGCATTCTTTTTCTAAAACAGCCAACAAAAGACCTGAAGCGGCATATGGCTGCAATAACCCCTACAAGCTTGGCAGGTAATGCTGAGACATGCCTCTATTAATGGAGATTTCTCCCTCCCTCCCTCCCTCCCTCTCATAACTACCTGCCATGGCTGTCATTCAAAATGGATATATATACTTTTCCCATAAAGCACACAGAGGATAAAACTATCAATGGCCATCTTTCAAAATGGATATATATTGACTTTCTTCCCTCCCTCCCTTTCTTCCCTCCCTCCCTTTCTTCCCTCCCTCCCTTTCTTCCCTCCCTCCCTTTCTTCCCTCCCTCCCTTTCTTCCCTCCCTCCCTTTCTTTCTTTCTTTCTTTCTTTCCCTTCCTCCCTTTCTTCCCTCCCTCCCTTTCTTCCCTCCCTCCCTTTCCCCTTTTTTGTCAAAATGCCTCTCTTGTTTATAAGTACCTCTGCTGGATCAAGAAGCTCTTCCATTCATGAAATTGCCATATTTTTCCATGTATAAGACACTACTTTTTCCTAAAATCATTAAACTAAAAACTGAGGAGCATCTTGAACACGGAGAGAACAAAACGGCCCGTACCTTGCCTCTGTAAATACGCTTCCTTCAATCACGAGGCTTAGCTGCCTCCAATAAGGAAGCTTAGCTTCCTACAGTCAGAAGACTTAGCTTCCTCCAATCATGAGCCTTATGGAACTGACATCAGCTGATGCTGAACAAACCAATTGGAACACACTTCATTGGAGGTGGAGCCTGTAGGCTCAGATTCAACAGGGACCCCTAATGTCTGAGCGTTCTGAGCCCAGAGGTTGAATACTCAAAGCTAAGTTTTCCTAAATTTTGGGTTAGAAAAGTGGAGAGGCATCTTATAAATGGAAAAATACGGTATATCTTTCAGCCTCTGCTCCCTGTTCTTCTTGACTAGGTTACATTGCATTCTGAGTAGCTGCTCTACAAGTTAACACACACTGAATTTAGTTTCAAAGGATTTTCCATTTCAGTACATAAATGTTTTGGCTACTTCTAGATGCTAGAGCTGCCTCTAGCAGTGATTTCCAACTTTTACTAAACTAAATATCCAGGATTCTACAGAATGGAGCCACAACAGCTAAAGTAGTATCAAACACCTGTAACTAAGGGCAGGTACACTCTGAATGTAGCCATGTACATATCTACTTAATATTAAGGTCATCAGCTTTAATAGGGCTTCCCTACACCTCAGTGGGTTTCACTTTGCAGCCTGAATTGCAGCCAGCTTGAGAGTAGCCTCTCGTTTTTTATCCTTGTTTGGTTTTGGGAAGGACTTCATCTGGATTTTTCTTTCTTTCTTTTACATTCTTAACAGATTAATAGATCCTCAAACCCAGGTTACAAGAGCAAATGTAAGTGTACTTTTCCTTTTAATCAGAGTATATACATGGCAATTGGTATTACATGCTAAGCTGCCAGTTGGGAAGCTCTTAGGAGGATGCTTGTAATTCTGAAACTTGTTTTTCCAGTTTGAACTTGCCAGTGTGACACAGTTTGCAGCTCATCAAGAAAATAAAAGGCTGATTGGATTCGTAGTTTGTGTCTCTGAGTCTCCAGGCGAAGATTCCCTGAGCGCTTATGTGTTTGAGAGTAACACAGAAGGCGAAAAGGTCTGGAGATGGTTTTGTTGCCTTTAAAATACATTAAGAAATTCTAATTGTGGTGTTTAGTTACAAGTTGTAGGAGGGTTGGTGATATCACTTCCCTTGCTTAGATTCCAAGCAAAACATTCAAAACGTAACAAAGGAAATGGCAGGATTTCGTAGCAATTTCCTTACTTATCATCATCCATAATCCTGTTTTCTTCTTCATTCAGTTGAATAAGGTACTGAAATTGAAATTCTTCTGTGCTGTTGGTTTTCCAGTGTTTTCTTAAGAAGGCCATTAGCCAAAATTATCAATTATTTTTATTAATTCTGATACAGTATATATATTTCTGGTTTACCAATAAATAATAACAAATCATCTACATATAGAGCTAGTTTATACTCTACTTGTTCATGAGCAAAACCATGGTTTATCCTATTCTGTCTAAAATAGCACATGCCAATTGTTCCAAACATAAATAACAGTGGAGACAAAGACAGCCCTGCCTGTTACCTCTTTCTAAATAAAAGGGATCAGAAAGAATCATAGGTGAAAACAAAATAAAAATAAAAAAATAAGAAAAGATAAAAATGAGGTGAACGCCTTAAAGACTAACTTTTATATTTTTTTAATATGAGCTTTCTACTTCAGACATCAAAATCAGAAAGGATTACATTTACTTTTGCCATTTAGGATGGAGGTCTACAATTTTAATCCATTTTACAAATTGAGAAAATTCACATTTTACAAATTTGAGGAAATCCACATTTTTCTAAAGCAGCAAACATAAATTGCCAATATTTTTTAATCAAATGTTTTTTTCAGTATCTAATGAAGTAAGCGCACCTGGATCTGATCTATTACTAGTTAGCAGCACTAGTGAAACATGATGGAATTTGTAGTCCAGCAACATTTGGGAAGCCATAGGCTCCTGACTCCTTTGTAGAATCATAAGTTGGAAGGTAAATTAAAGGCCGTGTAGCCCAACCTACTGTCAGTGCAGGGAATAAACCATTGCAACACTTGACACTGTGTGGCACCATCTCATAACTGGGAAAGTTCCAGTCGTACTTGTTATTCCTGTTTTAACTGACATGGAGCTACTACCAAAGGCTTAGGATTTTCTAGTGCTCTGGTGTGGATCGGATGATAATAGAAAAACACTTTTCTGAAATTGATAATTTTCTGGAATTACTTAGTCTTGCCCCTTAGCATTTACTCAAAACAGTGGTCTGCCCAGACGATTGATCAGATCTATACAATTAAACCCTTTGTGTGTTTCTTCTAAGATGGTCTCTGCTTCCTCTTCAGATTTGCTATGCAATAAGCCTGGGAAAAGAAATTCTTGAGGCTCGGAAGGTAACATGCTCTTGTTCTTCCATTTACTTGAAGTGTGGTGAATCTTCCAAGGCTTTAGCACCCAGTGTAATTTGGGCAACAGTTGGCAACTTGTGGATGAAAGCTTTTGGACTGCTCTTTTCAGCCTCGGCCAGCACCACCAGTGGTGATGAAAGCCGCAGTCCAAAAGGATTTGGCGAGGAACACGTGGCTTTGTGGAGTCCCAGCAGATTCTCTTTACTCAGAAAGTACATGATACTGACAGTTCGGTGAATTTCTAGGAAATTCCTTAAACTAATCCAGCATAAGTAGTTACTTAGTTAAAACTGATTGATTTGCGCAATTAAGATAGTGGGAACGCGGATGTACTGCAAAGAGTGAAGTACTGCATTATATTTCTCTAGGGTATTGGCATTTTAAGCCACCATGGGGCCTCTTGAGGAAAAAGAGGGGTATGAATATTTTAAATCAATCAGTCAGTCAATCAATTATAGGGAGCCAGCTTTAAGTTTCATGTATTGTAAGGGAGCATTTAAGCCTGTGCTTCAGTCAGCATAGTGCTTAGCATCTGAACAGACATGCTTTGAATTAAGACTTTCAAAAGTGTAGAATTGCGGTTAGATTGCGCCTTATTAGTGGTAATGAAAATGAGGGGAAAAATCATGGCGAAAACACAAATAGGATAAGGATAGCTTGTAGCTGCATCTTTCCATCTAAATCGGGTGTCTGTTATTTGCTTTAGCTCATGTCTAGCTTATTTGTGCTGTGTGGAGAAATGCAAGCAAAAGGTTTTGTACCATTTTCAAATCAGAATTATTTATATTTATACTAAGAACTTGATGGTTAACTGATGCACCCAACCTTCAGCAAGGAGTGTTTTTCCAGGTATTTCATGTATGTATTGAAACTAGTTTATCCAGTAAGCTGCAGCACGAGACTCATGGTGAAAATGATTCCCAGAAATTGTTTTCACTGCAGCACAGTGTGAATACATATGGAAAATATTCTGCAGGTTGAAGTGGGTTTCTGCAGTGTACTGGGACAAATGACTCGTGCAAAAATATTTTCTGCTGTCAAATAAGCTGAAACTTGCTTTAATCCAGTTTGGTAACTTATTGGGTTTGTAACTTGTCCTCCAACTCATTTTAGCAACATGTCTTATAATTAAAATGCATTAAATTAGAAACCGGATTAAACTTGTTTTGAGAATTCTCATAACTCATGACTGAGAGCCAAATCAGAAGTCATTTGTGACATTAATACCATATTTTTCTGTGTATAATACACTACTTTTTCCTAAAAGCATTACACTAAAAATTGAGGTGCATCTTATACACGGAAGTAAGCTGAGAGAGCTGAGAAGAAAACTGCCCCGTACCTTGCCTTTGTAAACAGTCTTCCGTCAGTCACGAGATTTACCTTCCTCCAATCACAAGCCTTCTGGAACTGACATCAGCTGATGCTGAACAAATCAATTGGAATACACCTCATTGGAGGTGGAGCCTGTAGGCTCAGATTCAACAGGGACTCCTAATGCCCGAGTGTCCTAAGCCCAGAGGCTGAATACTCAAAGCTGTTCTCTTAATTTTTGAGTTAGAAAAGAAGTGTGTGTGCTTACAAACAGAGGGGTGTTATAAATGGAAAAATACACTAACTGTACTGGCTTTTTAAATTGTAAAGTGCAGGTGTAGGGAACAATCTGAATAGGGGCTGCACAGGAGTAAATGGTTGCATGTTTGGCCTGAGCCTAATTCTTTTGCCTCTGACTCCATTTTCATTACAGGATCCAGAAGCATTAGCTCAGTTAATGTCATCTATGCCACTGACCAATGATGGAAAATTCATGCTGTTGAATGACCAGTCAGAAGAGGACAATGCTGTGCATGGAGATGGGCAGGAAGAATCTGAAGCATAAGTTGTAGTTTCTTATTGTGGAGATGGTATTGTCTGGAATAGGCTAAACACTGCTCTGAGCTACAATTCAACATGGGTGGATACCTAGAGATAGCACAAAAGGAGAACTTGGTCTGAATGTCTGTCATGATGAAGTGACAATCTTCAAATTCTCCCAGCTGTCATCATGAGGTCATCTGCTACTGGCACTGAAGGGAGCCTGATGTCTACCAGCACATTTTTCAAGATCTCGCCAGGGTTCTTCTTCAGATGCTAAGCCACTTCCTCATCTACATTCTTTTAGGAACCCAGCTTCTTGTTTCTGACTGCAGTCAGGACTGTGTGCGCTCTTTTAACTGCACATCTTTGTATTCCACATGATTCTACTAGCTGTGGGAAGCAGCAAGAAGCTTCACGGGGCCATGAGACTTCATCTTCTAGGCTCTTAGAAATCTTACTACATACACACTTCAGAAAAAGCTCCTAAAATGTCAGGAGCCGATCATTTTAGGGCAAGGAGATAAAAATTAAGAGGTCCTCAGTAAGTAGCATCTAGTACTGCATCCAGTATTGGGAGCCTGGAATACCCACAGCCCAAATGGATCTTTAGTTTTTATATATCTCAGTAACAATTGAAAGAAATGCATTATTTGTTTCTATATTGTTTTTAGGCTCTAGTATACTTTTTAAAAAGGATAATAGAATCACTATTGAACTAGATGGTTTATCAAATAGTTCTCTAAACACTTTCCTATTAATATCTATTTTTATACTTTTATCTGGAGTAAGCTTTCAGTCATTACTCTTAAGTAGAGATGGAGATTCATATTCATCTGCCAGGGGAGATGAATAGGAAGCCTGCCATCACAGCCAGTTGGCCTGATTAAACCCTCCACACACACCCGCAACCGCGTGTCCACATGGCACACACTGCTGTCATTCTTGCCTCCATGCCAATCGTAGAAGTAGCCTGGCTGATGCTTCCGTGCCTGCCTGGGCTGCTGACCAATCAGCAGCTGTATGCTTGTCATCCCTCCTCCTCACCAGATTGGCCAGCAGCACCGGGAGGCATGGTATCCCTAGCCAGGCTACTTCTGCGATTGGCACGGAGAGAATGACAGCAGCACATCACGCAGTGAGCAGACACCCAGTGTGTGTTAGGGGAGAGGGTTTAATCAGGCCAGCCAGCTGTGATGGCGGGCTTCGTATTCACCTTCCCAATCTCTACTCTTAAGTGCCTGCTGTTTTTTTGTGGGGACCATACCATAGCCTAGCTCAGTTGACATAGCAGGTGGGCCAGAAGTTATTCATTGAGCCCATTAGAAGTCTCAGCCATTCATTAGGGATGTACACCCATAAAAATTAATTTTTCTGAATTTCTAACCATTCTTGAGCCAGGTAGACGAACTGCTTCACATGAAGGGGCTTGTTTAAGATTGACCAGTTCCTCAGCTGAAAAATTTCTTCAAATCTGCCCCAGGAAGCAATTCCGGAAAGAGAACTGATATAAGATTGCCTATATGTTTTTACAAGTTTGATGCTGTTGTAGCTAGCAGGAAATGGGACAAACCACTGTGTTGAGTCATCTAGGTTTACTATTTTCAGTTGAAGTCATATGCAAGAACAGAGCCAGCTCTAATGGAGGTATTAACCTAATTTTTAAAAATGTAATGTTAAGGATGTTTTAATGCTAGCAAAGCAAATGTTTAGAAGTAATGATAGATTAAAATCATATTTGAACTACATGTCATTGCCTGAAACGAAGTCATCTTGGCTTGTGATCAACACAATGGATATGGCCAATCAGAACACAAAAGTACAATACTAAATAATGAAGACTGGAAACACTTCTAAGATCCTGAAGAAAGAGGCAGGAGAACATAGGTGACATCTGCTATTGTGCAAGGCAAGTCCAAACTCTTTTGATGTCAGTTAAATCACACTCTAGCCTCTCTAGTTTAAGGTAACGGGAACACCACCCAATATATATTTTCCTGCTTGCCCAGCTGCAAAGTTGTAGTGACCACATTAATGGGAAAATGGGGAGGTGGGCCCCATTTTAGTAAAGTATCTCCTCTCCCCAACAGATTAGTGCCTCAGAATTGGGGGCTTGCATCAGATCCATCCTTGCTATGTTCAAATTTTGTGGGTACAGTGTATGCACTGTGGGAGAAGTCTGTTCTCTTTTTCTATAACTTTAATATTTCAGACATCACTTGGAGTCAGCTTCAGCAAGTACAGTATATTACTCTTCAGATGGTAAATCTGTTATTCTTGCTGATAGCAAGTAGTTTGTATATTTCTTTAATTTAAACAATCTCTCAACAACACTAAATTGGGCATACTGAACTGTTCATTTAGTTATCTTCCTCTGGGAAGAAAGCAGGTAATTTTCTGAAGGACAGTCACACTTGGGAGCCTATTAAGACCAAAAGGGCAATCCAACTAGCTCTTGTAGCATGCTAATGAAAATTTCTATGTTCTGTTAAATTCATTCATAGAAGCAGTTTCATTGTTAAAGCTGCTCCCTCACAAAAATACTGAAACTCTTTCCAAGGACAGAAACCTTCAGGCAATAAGGATGCATGGAGTCGAGTAAAGCTACTTTCCAAAGTTACATTTATTACATACACAATATCTGACAGAACGAAAACTGAGGTAACAGTCTTTTTGTTAAATGACATGTTATATTTGGTCCCCTTCATTCCTGAGCATTTGAACATAGCTTTCAGATGGAACTGGTCAACTTACAGAATGACAACATGCAACAGGACCTCTAATTTGCACCTCAGTCAGAAGTTCAAGTATACAAATATTGATGGCTTTGCTGTTTTGGCCCATTGATCACTCCTGATAAGCCTGATGAACTCAAATGTTTTTCTGAAATAAGATCACATAATTGCTAAGGGAGCCTTCTGGGTTGACTTTTCTTCCACTTAAGACAGTTTGAGGATTTATTTTCTATTACATACCACATGGAAATAAAGGATCTTAAGTCAAAGAAGCATCCCCTTTATTTCTAGCTTTCATAAACAAAGTAGTATGAAAATATAGCTGTATTTACTGCTTCATGCTTGAAGACAGATTAGTAAAGGTGGGGTGGCAGAAAAATAATACTTATAGAGCATTTCAGTAAACTAAACCTAATCGCCTTCCTAAGCTTTTCCTTATTCACATACTTCAATAAGATTGTGATTTCCAGTTTTAATGTAACACACATATGTGTAGCAGCTAGGGAAACCATAATCTAAACTGAAGCCTATGTTTTTTGTAGAAATGTACCACAACCTGCTTCAGGACTAAACTGGAAATATTAATTGGTTCTATAGCATGAGAGGTGTTCAGAATACTATCCTATATTCATAAACAAAGCTATATGACTGCACATATGTATATATTCACAAAAGCAGTATATGTGAGTTAAGACCCAGGTGGAGACAAGATGTTTAAAGTGTAGAACTAAGGCTGTTAGTTTAATACTGTACAGTTCAGGCACATGTATGCCCTAATCTCAGGTTTCATTCAAATAAGCAGCCAAAAATAAAACAAAACTTTACAGCTTTAAATTTACACATTTGTACAGGGTCAAGAATTAAAAGACAGAAGTTGGCCCTCTAAGTTGGCAGTTTCTTTGGATTCCAGAGGTCTACAGACTATGACAGATTTTGAAACAGGGACGTAAGGAGAAAATAAGCAACATTACAACAAATGATGTATGTTTATCTCATTTCAATTCAATTCAAGAGAATTTATAAAAACAACTGTGAAGTTGCTATGAAAACATAAAACAGCAAATGTCTCTCCACCCCAAACTGTACATTAAGCCAAAATGCATTCTTTAGCAAAACTCAAGCAGAAAGGATGAATGGTAAATGATGGGTTTTTCCGCACTTCCCAGTCACTGCCATTTCTGAAGTTGAAAAAGTTCCATGCCAGTTTGATTTCATCACGTGCAGCAAATAACCATTGCTCTAGGTTCATACATAACAGAAAGGAGAACGTGAGTGGAACATGTTTTGCATATTCTGTCTGAGTGAGTACTGTCTCTCCCCTTCCCCGCCCCCCAGAGCCCCATATCTATTCCTGAGGGTCTGCAAGACAAGAGGGCAAATCTGTTCTGCATATGCTGTTTGTTGTACTGGCAGAAGGACACAGCGGAACAACAATCCATTTTTAACCACAATTAGGTTTAACTAGTTACAAATTACTAGTTCCTTCCCCCAGTAACAAAGGTTTCATTAAACACATTGTGGCTATGACATAGCAAGGGACAACGCAGTACAACTAACTTCTGCAGTGCAACTAACTTCTGCAGTGCAACTAACCTTTTATAATTGTGGAGACACAGCCACATTAAACAGTGGGTGTTGAGATAGCAGGGTTCTGAGACACAAGTCAAGGGATTGCAGTATTTGGTTTTTGAGAAAGAATAAAGACTACAGTTAAAACTAACCATAGCAATAACTGGCAACCTTTGGGGACTTGTAATTGTAACTAATGAATTAGTTCTGAAAGTAACCCTTCAAGCTCTGGAATTAACAAATTAATTAATTCTTACTATTCATCTTAAAGAATGGCAAGCATGACAGTGACTTTAATAAACTGAGAAGACAACAGATCAGGAAACACTGCCTATCTGCTGTTCTGTTTTTGGTTCAGCATATCTTGATGGGTAAGAAAACATACTTGGAAAGGATATGCTTTATTTAAATTGCTCTTCATGATGATATCAAACTGGTCTTTAGTACTGCCATATTAGTCCTGAAGTGGCATCAACTAGCATCTCCTGCTCAACACTGTTACCTCTCCCATAGCTGATGCTAGTTCAGACTGGTATCACAGTGCTAAATACCAGCATGATACCATAACTAAGGGCAATTTAAACAATTGAACACTTGCCCAAGATGCTGAAAATAGTTGCACTATATCCATCCAGATCTAATTTTTAGTTTTACTTGATCATCACATCAAAACTGTTGCATGGGTGGAGGGGATGAAAGTGCTCCCTAATAATGCTAGAAGTACATCCTCTTATTTTCTCAGCTGCTGCAGAATTTAAAAGTTTAACTGTATATTCACAGTTTATAGCCCTGAAATGGCACTAGGATAAACAGAGAAAACATATACCCAGGCTATCATTTCACAATAGGCTCTGCAGAAGTAGAGTTGGGCAGATCCCCGTTGCTTGGTCTTCCACTTTCTTCTACGTAAAAAAAAATAAAATAAAAATCAACAAAACACAGTCAACACAAACACTTCATAAATAAAATCCAGCAGTATTAACAACTTGAAGATGAGCTCAAGATACTCCGTTCAGAGGATCAAGTTTACACAAATGCAAGACGGTGATATCTTTTATTGGAGCACTAAAAAATTAAATAACAAGCTTTTGTGGATGATATCCACTTCCTTGGGCTCTAAATACACCCCCTTTATGGATGGTGCAGAAAAATCTGGGACCACAACAGTCGTTGTTATTTCTAGGATCAAAGTCTGAATCCATAGAGCTGAACTGATATTTTCAACTAAGATTTTCTGGGCATTTGGATCAACCTTTCATGGGCATTCCAGGAAATATGGGCGGCTACAGAGCACCTCATTTTTTCTTTTAAAGTTAAAACTAATATTAGCATGTTGTAGTCAACTCAAAACAATGTAAGGTATTACTTAAGATAAACCCACCCCATCAACACCAACCTGTAAAAGGAAAAACTTCATGAACTTGGTGGAGGGCTGGGATGAACACAGCATTAGCAAAACCAAAACGGGCTACCAACTATGATCCACTTAATATTTCAGTGTCTGTCACCTATTCTAGTCAAAATCCTATTACGTAATGCCTGCTGGCATAGATCTCTGTAGCACATTGCCACTAGTGATGAAGTCCAATAGAGCTGTATCTGTCACCTATTCTAGTCAAAATCCTATTATGTAATGCCTGCTGGCATAGATCTCTAGCACATTGCTACTAGTGATGAAGTCCAAAAAGCTGTAATTGCTGTTGCAGGAAATGCAAACAATGACTTCTTATCCAGTGACAATTCACTGACAAAATTCATACTAATGGGCTTTCGCCATTTAAGTATTAAATTGAATTCTAGTCACTGTTAGAAAGGAGCATTTCTAATTTAAGTGAATGAATCTATGTAATACTGACTAGTCACCTCACTTATACTGAAGTGAGCAATTTATAACAGAAGTTGGATGATAATGCAAACCATCCTTTGGTATTAAGTTGACTTGATTTCCCAAGCAATATCCATGTTAAATGTGACATCTTTAGTCATTTGTTAAATCTCCCATGCTTTTTAATGCCAAACAGCATGGAAGATTTAAAGGAATTAGAAAATTTTAGGGGGAAGTAGTACTGCATGTTTAATGATTGTTGTTATCATTCCACTATTTTGAAGGTGGTATTATAAACTAGTGATAGCAGAATTGAGGATGCAAGAAGCAAATTTATTTATTTAAAATATTTTTACCCCGCCTTTCTCCATGAATGGACCCAAGGTGGCAGTTTCCTTAGTGTGAAAATAATAACCCACGTAGGTCCTCTTCATATATTCTTCAAGTCTTGAACAACAACAGAAGAGCAACAGAATAGGACTATGGTTTCATGGTTTTACACCACATAATAATCAAAAACTACTTGAAGCCAATGGCATACTTCCCCAGAACCACCTTGGGTCCTTTTAAGGAGAAAGGCAGGGAAAAATATTTTAAATAAATAGCATTGTTCACTAACCTTCTCTGTCTTTTTTTTCTTGATTTTCTTCTGCCGCAGTTTTGTCTGCTCTGAAAAAGATCCTTGCACTGCTTAGTGAGAAATGAAGCAGTTCAAACTCCTATAAAAAGGAAAGAAAGGGCATCAGCAACTGCTAGTCATATCACAGAGTAAGAACCACCGTGTTGTGTAAACCATACAAAGACCAGAACCCCCAATATCCAATAGTACTGCTGTATCATTTGCATACAAACTACCAACTGCAGCTCTCAGGCATTATGAATAAAACACAAGGAAGATGAGAGTACTAACACCATCCAGAAGTCAACCAATCAGCGTCTTTTTCTTTATTCCACAGCCTTGTTTCACAATAACATACCCATTTTTGCTTTGTCTCTGCAGACATTGAGAACACCTCCCTATCGTATCAATGTGAACTTGCAAGAGTCCTATCAAGTATCACCTAATTAACACTGTCTGTTCAAAGTACCATTGTTTTGAATAGCAATAACTCCATTGCTTGAACACACATTTATCACAAGACCCTTTCCCCCCAAATCAATGGTTCTTAAACATTTTAAAATTTGGAAACCTTACCTGCTATCCCAATTCCAGACTCCCCAGATTTTTGAAAAGGTCACAGTGCTTCCAAATCTTAAAATTTTAATTTTTACCATCAGCTAATCAAAATTATTTATGGGAAAGTAAAATACAAAGTACCTTCTTGCATAAGTATATTTTGTTTTCACACATTTATAGCAGAATGACAAAGAATCTGATTACAAGAACTGGATCTATAGTGGTCGTTAGACCACATAGGCCTGATATAATAAAATAAATGAACTGGATCTATAGTTCTCAGGATATGAGACAAAGTACCTTCTTGCATAAGTATATTTTGTTTGCACACATTTATAGCAGAAGGATAAAGAATCTGATTACAAGAACTGGATCGATAGTGGTCGTTAGACCAGATAGGCAGGATATAAATAAAATAAAATAAAATAAATGAATTGGATCTATAGTTCTCAGGATATGGGACATGTTTATCCCCAAGCACTGATTCTGTATAAAATCCATCATAGAAATTCACTACACTTTTTATGTAATATTTTCACACTAATAGCAAGTTGTACCTTGATTTCATTAAAGAGTTTAATCTTTTAATAGCAGGATTCTTACCCTCAAAATGCTACGTGCCTAACTGATACTTCAGTTAGACTGATAAACATCAGTCTGATAACCAAACCTTTAAAAGGGAAATAAATTGTGCAATTAATGGGAAACAATACCTGCAAACAAACTTCCAGTCTCTTGTGAGTAAGGTTCATAGTCTGTAGCAGCTTCTCATCTTGACTAGCCGACTGGATATTCTGTTGCTTTGCTAATGCTCTGATCTCCCTGACATACTTCTCTCGGACTGACTGAAACCAATGAAGGGAGTCAAATTCTTGATACTGGTTTAAAAGTTTCAGAATGTAAGCGACACCTGTTGGGTTTAGAAAATTAAAGTTAAATGTATTTTACACACATGCGCTGAATCAACTTTTGATAAGCAACATAAACAACTTCCCATGTCCCATGATATTAAACACCAAAATGTCAGATTATAATTTTAATCTATAGTCTTTATACTTGTTTGTATTTTGGTTTAGCAGTTTGTCTCAGTTGGTGCTTGTCAATATTTAACTACAAAAACAGAAGAGGACATCTGTCCAAAATACTGTTAACACAGGAATGTGGTGACAATTTAAGAGTATATTATGACTGTGGGGAAAAAGTTGCCCAAATCCATTTTGGTCCAAATTTCTGTCTTTTTAGGTGAATTTATTTACTTGAGGGCACTGTGACAGAAGATGAATTGCTGGCCAGAAACAGGGTCTGGAGGTGTCTTGGTGAACAATATTCACAGAACGCTACTAGATCTGGGAAAAACAGTTGCACAAAGCTAACTAAAGTCTTTTTCATCACCACCCTCAAAACTCCTTAATTCAAAGCTTTCTGACTCTTAAGATGGCATAGCAAATGTCACAGACTACTGCATCACCTAAAACATTTTGCCTACATAAGTAGTGACTCTCCAAGATGTAAGGCAGTGGTGGGCTGTTGTTTTTTTCTTCTTCACAACTATGGTCTCTAAGATTCTTTAACGGGAGACGGCAGAAAACAAGCATGGGACTTTTGCATGGAAAGTGAATAAGCAATATGTATGAGGAATATCCACAGGAATACATATATATATGAGCATGGTCTGTGCATATTTTTAACATAATACCGAGCAGTGCTCATTCCATGCATGCCTTTTAACTAAGTGATTCTTCCAGAAACACAAAGTCCTTGCAGAAGAGTTGAATGTTCCTCCTGAACTTACCCATGGCAAAACCATCATCAGTGAAGGCTGCACCAGCTTTGTTCTTTTTGTTCAGCTTCTCTTTGCAGCTGATCGAATGTTCTATAAAGTTGAGAGCCTAAGGACAAGGGGTAAGAAGTTGCTCCAAAGTCTCTAAAACAGGAAAGCTTTCTGAACTTTGGTAAAATTAAAATATTAAATTTAAACCCCAAAGTTAAGTCCTCAAGGATCCTATTACTTCTACGCGTTGTTCATCAAGATATCTGAAAGTGCATTTTTAAAAATCTCTTTAGCTACTTTTGGAAAATTACTGAAGCAGAACTAAAGTTTTGAATATCTTAGTTGTACAAGGATACTGACCATTTCAATATCAGAGTTAGGCCAATGGGTCATCTTGAGAGCCTAAGGACAAGGGGTAAGAAGTTGCTCCAAAGTCTCTAAAACAAGGAAAGCTTTCTGAACTTTGGTAAAATTAAAATATTAAATTTAAACCCCAAAGCTAAGTCCTCAAGGCTCCTATTACTTCTACGCGTTGTTCATCAAGATATCTGAAAGTGCATTTTTAAAAGCCTCTTTAGCTACTTTTGGAAAATAACTTTACTGAAGCAGAACTAAATTTTTGACAAGGATACCGACCATTTCAATATCAGAGTTAGGCCAATGGGTCATCTAGTCAGGTACATATTTTCCAGCCCTGTCACCTAACACTCTTTCACAAAAGATTATGCAAGTAAAATACAGAACATTCTTTATGCAAAGTATATGCTATTTCACAGAGTAATTCCCCTACTCCATATATCAATTAGCATTATAGGTTCAAATTTTGTACATATACATTTTCACCCAGTTGTAGGATTCATACAGAGGCTTTAAAATATTTACATGCAATCATCTTTCAAAATTCCAACCATTTCAGTGAAAGCTCCACAAGTGCCTAGTGGTTAGAGTGCTGGGCTAGGGCTTATGAGAGTTAAGATTCAGATCCTCACTTGGACATCAAACTCACTGGATGAATATGGGCTAGTCATAGTCTCTCCACATGACCTATCTCACAAGACTGTTCCAAGGATGCAACCGGGGGCGGGCAGCCATGTACACACCTTGATCTTGCTGGAGGAAAGGGCCCATATGTATAAACGCAATGAATAAATGAATACACCAGGTAAGGAAAAACTAACCAGTGGTGGAACAATTATATAAAAGTTCCGTAGATGCATGTTCTTTGGACTCCGAAATTCAGGAGCAAACACGTCCACCAACATTTTGAAGTATTCTGTGCCTTCTGCAGAGTTGCGTGTCAGATCACCAAGAACAGCATCCAGTTGCCTGCAGAACAGAGATATACATGAATTTTCAGTTGGAAATGTTTTGATCCTATTTTATATTAAGAGTTATTTGTCTTTATATAATAAGTACAGGCAACACCAATGCAATCTGCTACTATCTCTAGCTTCCAAAATAAGCAAAGAACAACAATGGATGAAATCCAGTCACCAGTCTCAACTAGAGAAGGCCCAGTTAATCAATGAAACTTATAGAGGAGTTAACTTATCAAATCCCCACTGATTCAATGGACCTAGTCTGTCTGTGAATTCCTACTGGATTTCAGCCATTGTATACATTTACGGAACTATACCTTTATGACAATAAATTCAGAATTTCCAGCCATACAGAAAATGTCATAACAGTTCTTTATCTTGACTGCAAGAAAGCAGCAATTTATTATTTGTTTGTGAAATTATTTTAACAGGCCTTCATCCTTTTTCTTCAACATGACTGGACACACATGACAAAAACGTTCAATTTCATTCTAAGGAATGTTCAAGCTACACCATCCCCTACTTTTTCCAGTATCTATTCTACATGCACCAGACTAGCATTCTGTTGACAGAGTGCCGAAAGTAAATCTCTCTTGCTTAACTTTGCTCTTAAAAGAAAAAAGAAAGGCTGCAACACTCTTAAGAGAAAGCAAAGTTCTCAGTTTTACAAGATGTCAGCCAGAAAGGGATTTGTTCACTAGAACTATAAATGGCAAAGGAAATCAATGATCAAATTCTTTACTTCTATCTTAAAGTAGTCTCAAAGGTTCCTTATTTTGTAAATGTAAACAAACAAACAAGAAACTGGGATATATGAATGAATCCCTTGTGTTCTGTATGTACAGTTAACCCCAAGTTAGCTCTGTAAGAGATTTTGTCAATTTGAAAATTAAAGGATTATGTTGTTAACAAAGAACGCTGTAAAAATATTGCTGTCAGATCGATAGATCTTCGAGCCCTGCATCTTGCTTTCCACTCGCCAATCTGATGCCCCTGGAAGCCAAAAGCCACTGAAAAAAGGCAAAGCCCCTCCTGTTATTATTTCTAGTTTTCACAGACAGTTGAAAGCAATATGTGTAAATTGTGCTGCAGTATTATTTTATCAGAGAGCACTATTAAAAGAGTCGTGCATGTAGGAATAAAATGTTTTTGCCATGTATTCTGTACCTGGCTGCTTTTTGTGTTTCTTCGGACAGACCTTCTTCTTTCACAAGTTCTTCAAAATTAACAATGTCCTCAAGATCAGGAACAAACCTACAAATTATATGTCACATTTATTCACAGTTCTAAATTATAATATCTATAGAGCAACTAATCTAATTTTCCTATTTCTTACACTGCCTCATTTCTGTTCACATCTTAACACGTACTTGCTTATATTCTGTACGGCTAGGAAAACTGCTATACTTTCCAACTGCATGAGCTACTCCATGCTAGCACTTTTCTACTTGATCAGCATACTAAACCCTTAAAAAACAGTTTACAAGCTAATGAAAATCAACAAGAGGAGTCAAACATATGGGAGAACAGAAGAGCAAGCAGCAATACTGCTCTATGGCAGAAAGAATGAGGTTGCTGTTGTGTGCCATGAGGTCACTTCCAATTTCTAAAGATCCTCACAGGGTTTTGAGGCATGTTGTCAGCTGTTCAAGGCGTAGTTTACCATTGCCACCCTCCAGTAGATTCCCATAACCAAGCAGGCATACATTTGCACAATAATAACGATAAATGGCAGAGTTGCTTTACAAAATTGGGGATATTTTCCAGGATGTTTGTCCTGTGCAATTTCACACCAAACCTGTACTCAGTTCCAAATTATATTTACCAAAAGTAAATAAAGTATACTTTTAGTCACATTTGCACTGACAAGACAATACTGACATTACCCTTGTGAAACTCAATACCCCCTTTGCCAGGCTGCCCATCTCTAATACGAAGCAGAAGAGTTACTCAACCCTCTTCGTCTAACAGGACAATGCCATGCAATCCTGCAATAGGAGAGTACTCAAAACAAATCAGCACCACTAGCTGATCCTGAAGAAAACGTCCTCCCTGACTCACCCAGGGTGATATAAACCTCTCTGTATACAGCCAGTTATTGCCATCTTGAACCTCCACATCTATTATCTCAAGCTTTATTGTCCTGCTTTTTTCCCTATGTCTGTGCATTGGAATTTTCATTACTGTCACTCCCGGGATTTCTGCGGTACGCTTATTCCCTTCCTCACAGCAATACTGATTTTCTGAGTGTGATTGTTTACTGTTGTTGTTGTCAGATAGGATGGACCCATTTTGGAAGAAAGGGGTTGTGGGAGCATGCTTCCCCAAGCTGGTCCCCATAAGGGACACTGAATGGGGAACTACAGAGATCCATCCTGGGGGGTTTGCCACACACACAGAGGGTGGGATGAACCTACACGCTCAGATCATGGTAGATCCGATATTCCAATCACTACTGTGCAATCCTATTGTCTCAGGTAGATAGGCTGCCCAAAGATTGGATCCAGGCCCCTGCCTACACCAAAGCCAATGTAATGCAAAGCTAATTTCACACACAACATAATGGTTGATCACTTTTTTTCTTTATCACACCCTGTGCAAAGCTAATTTCACACACAACATAATGATCGCTTTTTTTCTTTATCACACCCTACTCCTTTAGTCCTTGGGTGCAAATGTTGTACACCTCCTGTCTATTATCCTGTTTACTCATTGGTCTGTTGCTCGCCTATACTTCTCCTGAGAGCCATTATGGCACGGAGTCTTAAAAGAACCCAAATACCACGTTCATGATAAATCCTGTTTATACAAAACAGGCAAATTTCAGTTTATTCCATAAACTTGTGGAAATAATTCTATTTTTGGGGGGTACAGAATAAGAGTCCTAGCCACGCCCCCACTGTGTGCTGTTGCATTTAGCTGTAATACACGTCTGCAGGCATGATAAACTGGGTACAGAATAAGAGTCCTGGCCACGCCCCCACTCTGTGCTGCTGCATTTAGCTGCAATACATGTTTGCAGGCATGATAAACTCTTGCCTTTGTTTTAATGGTAAATAACAATGGATGATGAAATATCAGAACAGAAGGGTTTCATAATTATCAGTACAAATACTTTATAGCAATATTGAGAAGCATCCTGAAATGTAGGTAGTACATACCTGATTGCACTACTACAACAGTGAAGGCCACCAGATCTTATCATTCGTACATAGCCCATTGCATTTCCTTTTTTAAAAAATACAGAAATAAATGTTAATACCTGAAATTATGCTATACACAGAAATAAGTGGCTGTGCACTTTGTACCATCACATTCCAAATAGATTTTTAAACATAAAATAAAACCTGTCAGACACGTCTAACAAAGCTTTCAAACACAATACGAGTTAATTTCTATATACTGTATGTATATTAATTACCAATATAACCATATTGTCATGCTGATAATTGTTGAGTGCAAGGGAAGACAGAACAAGACTGAAACAAGGCTTTTTGGATCCATCTACTAATTTTGCCAACAAAATCTATGCAATTTAAAGTATTAATTTTGATCTACAGAAGATCTACAAAAGTCTTTTGTTGCGTTAACTAGCCAATCTCTGCCCGTACTTAAAAATGAGAAATCTCCTATACATGAAAATAGCTGTTATTTTGATGCCAAGGATGAATTTATTTATGAATAAAATGTTGAATGAATGGAAAATTAATAACAATTGCAATGCAAAGGCCCAAATCCTCTTGTCTACTGTGTTTCCCAAAAATACAGTATTAATTTTTGCTCCAAAAATGCATTAGGCTATTTTCAGGTGATGTTTTATTTTTTTCATTTACAACCATCTATCTTTATTCAAATACAGTCATGTCATCTTCTTCTGGTTGCTGCCCAATGGCAGAGGGCGTGGTTTTACTTAACTAGGACTTATTTTTGGGGTAGGGCTTATATAACGAGCATCCTGAAAAATCATACTAGGGCTTATTTTCAGGTTAGGACTTATTTTCAGGGAAACAGGGTAGTTACACTGGCATAGCACAAATAGTATAACCTTTGGAGACAAACTGCTCCAAGTTATGAAAGCACTGTAGACATTATCAAATGCATACAGACTTTTATGACTCAGTGTACAAGTGATAATGTCCACAGCACTTATCTTCCAAAGATTACATTGCTAGTGTAGCTATGCAAGATTTTGCCAGTGAGCTGTATAACTGCTTCCCTCTGTTAAAGATGGCCTGTATTTCTTCAACATCTACCACTACAACTATGAGACCACCTTCAAAACCAAGGAGTCTTTCCAAAGTTATTTTGTTATGACATGGGATCAGCAATAAACAACTTGAGAGGCATGCATAACTTAAAACTGTTATTTCAATTTCAGTCAGTATATTTCAGTATTATATATTCTATAACATTGTAATGCATTTCAGTCCAGTATACAGTAGTTTCATACCTATCTGACTTATTAATTGCCTGAACTGGTCGAGGTAACTTTGTCCATCAGGTGTAATTCCAAGTTTTCTGATCCCCCGATTGAATTTCTCTGCTCTCTCGAAAGGATACTAGAAAAATCATTTTCAAACCCATTAAGAACAAATATTAGATGAACGTAGCCTTATCAGCCCCAGTTTGTTTTCATAAACAGGGATCTGGGTTCAAATCCTCACTTAGCCATGAAATTCTCTGGATGACTTTGGGCCATTCACAGTATCTCAGGATGACGAACCTCACATGGCTATGGTGAAAATGAAGTGGAGAGGAGCAGAGGCACATATACCCACGCAGCTCATTCGAGGAAAGGTGGAATATATAGTAACAAATACAACAAATATTACTTCCAATGTTAACTAAAAAAGGTACTACTCTGAGACAAAGACCCATCATATTTCATGTTAACGTTTTAATGATATCCCTTACCTTGCAAAACATTTAACAACATACCTCATGGAATTTTTAAAGAGAAAGATGTACAACTATTGCTTTCTGTAGATCACTGATCTGTTTTTGAAGCCATTTTAAAGCTTTCTTTCTCAATAACACCACCAATGTTAATTGCAGGAATGCATGGAGCAGAAGCCACATACATTTCTGAATGTTACTGTACACTCAGTGGTTACTAAGGATGTATGCTGAGCCTTTACTGAACTATTAGAACAGTCTGCCCCCTTCAGTTTTCACATTGCTGGAATGCTTAGGGTTTGTTATTAGAGCAAATGATGCTGAAGGAAAATAAAAACAAGTGTTCTACAGTTATAGGGAAACTAGCACAGCTAACTGACAATTTTGCTGCTCTTAACATTATGAACAGAAATTTGTTTGGTCGTAACTACTCAATCAAACTCAGTAAAAAGCACATCTTACATTCTGACAAGTTCAACTGGGTTTACTTTGAATAAGCGGACAGAGGACTAGTATCTCAGGGAATTTCAGAAGGCATTATATATATACAAAGAAATTACTTAGACCTCTACGTGCAACATACCTTGTGGTCATTTTGATCTTTAACTTCCCTAAAGAACCTGATATCTTTGATCAGCCTGGATTTGATGTGCTCATCATACATGAATTGGCTAAAGATATAAAATTTCTTTCTGAGAAACTGGTACGTGAAATTCACCTGAAGTGTTAAAAAACAAACAAGCAACCACATAGACAATATGAAGAAAGCTGCCACTACTGCAGAAGAATTAAAATAACAATTACTCTTCAGTTCCATTTTAATCATGACTCATACACATTTTTGCTCATTTAATAATATCACAACGTCCCTCTAACATATTATTACAGGTAAATGCATGAGTGACTGCTCTTTTGTTATCACTGGTTCTATACGGTGAACCACTCCGTATTCATGAACCACACAGGACAAATACATTTTACAAGCCTTGTTTTACATAATAACAACCGTAACATACAGTACACTTGCACTTGGAAAGCCCATTTGAACAGTTGTTCAGATGAACATGGTGGGTGGGAATCTGAGGAAGCCAGGGACCAAAAACCCCAAACCAGCCATGAGATCCCAGAGCTATACTGTGCCCACCCATCACAGCTAGTCTGCTCTGCCACCCTGAATTGTTTGTTATCAAGTAGGCTACCTTGAACACTACCTAGCAACAGAAACATGTGATAAATAATAACTAGGGATGGGAACTTCCTTACTGAATGGCCTTCCACTCCCGTAATTTAGCAGGAATGTCATGGGCTCAGTTATGGGAGTGGAAGCCCTGTAGCAGCATGAGGTAGAACAATCTCTCTGCCTGCATTCAATTCCTCTGCCCTCCAGCCAGTGGGGAGAAAGGTACTCCACTGCTGTGTGGGAATTGTGAGATTCCATGAGACTCGCAAAATCTCATATTAAGGTGAGTTCCGACACAGGACGCTTCATGAACTGCAACTGGTTTGGGGAACTAATTGATTAATACTTTTTTTGGAATTAAAGACGAAAACTTTTAATTTAAAAGAAAAACAGCCACGGCTGACAACATCAGCCTTAAGCAACATAAAATTGTACAACAAGATTTCCGTCACTGCTTGGTAAAATGAAATACCTATCTCACATTATGTACTCATATTTTCCTTAGTATATACAAAATTTGTCACTCACATATACACAAATATATTCTTTGTGTCTGATTTTATAAAGTGTACCTGGGTAAGACACTTCACCAACTGCTTATTATATAATGTTCATAATGTAATCCTGAGCGAAGTTAGCAAATCCCAAAACTCAGAAGCTATGCCGGGAATACTTACTGTTGTGTTCATGATTCCTGTGCCATGAGTTCGGATCGAATTAGCAATGTGTCTTATATTAATGGTGTTCAAATGCTTGTTATTGCTGATTCTCTCAATGAAGATCTGCAATTAAATACTTGCCATATAATTATAATGGATATACAATGGAAATCACTGTGTTTTTTAAAAAATACACATCTGTCTCACCTGATTATTAAGATTGTAGAGGTATCGGGATACAAATACATGGATATTCCGCATAATTTCCAAAACATCAAGGCCCTGAAAAAACAATGTTATGTGATTTAATAATCACTTTTTCTCTAAATATTCTAGTTATTGCTAACTGAAGCATCTATAGGAATATGCAGGCCTTCCCATCAGATAATTCCTGACGTCCTTCTCTTCCCCCTCCTATTATTTCATCTTTCTTGGTTAATGTTTTAGTTATGCAAAAATTGTTTTATATATATTTATCGTATTATTCTATGTTGTTAGCCGCCTAGAGTGGTCCTGACCCGACCAGATAGGCGGGATATTAAATAAATAAATAAATAAATAAATAAATAAATATGGTCACCATCCTTATCCTACACAAGTTTCTCTTTATGACAAAACTTGCAACAGGCAAATTCACCACGATGGGAATTGAGTATCTAGGTGGTTCTTTCATCCACATACTGCCTAGACCTTAATAGCTTTAGTAAAGCCCCTAATGCCATATGAATCTAGAAGAGGGTTAGGATTCTGTAAGTATTGATGGGAAATGGAGTCCAGCAACATTTGAAAGGACACAGTCTCACTTGGCCTTTAAACCATATCCTAGAGCTAGTGTTTACAGTACTAAAAATAAAGAAATCCACTTTAGCCATTAGAGATTACGATTTTCTTATTCCCACTTTACACTAATGGTTTCGTGGTTTGCTTTTTTCAAAATCTCTTTGCTTGTGGGCAAAAGGTTTTATTCATCTTGTGCTATTAGCAGCCAAAAGCATATAAACAAATTTGATCATTTAAAAACAATCCTATACACATTAGAAATAAGGGCAGTATATTAAATGATTCAAAGGCCCACTAAATCCCATTGCAGACTCTCTGTAGAAATGTGGTTTTCCATTTCTCTTGAAGGAACATGAAATACATATAACGAAAACTAAATACAAGATCACAGTATCCTCGGGAGATTGGTTCCAAGCCCCCCAGCAAATGCCAGGAATAGTGAAGACCTATTTCCAGTTTTTCTGCTGTCCATGCATGGTTCAGAAAGGAGTCCTGGCCCAGTCTTACCAAAGGATTGGGCTTCCTGCCCTCCTGTTTGCAAGAGAGGCTTCCCTGAAACCAGCAACTGCTACCTCCTACCCCCCCCAACCCCACCCCTGCCAGTAGGTCTGGGTTTGTCACAGTGGCTTCTCCATTTCACCTGGTCAGGCCACAAGTGCATTTCCATTAAACCACCTGTATATAGCATAGCAGCTGCTTCCATCATTGGTCATGAGAATGCGTATTTCTGGGATTCATTCATTCACTGATTTCAAGCAGTGGATAAGTGAAACCGTGGGTACTGATCCCACTGATACGGCGGTTCTACTATAATTCTTTTTGCATCATTCTCCAATTCTAGCAAGAGAATGAGAATGACCCACAGTCTAACCAGCACACCAAAGCTGCAGGTCTGCAGCGAAACAAAATTATCTGAAGCATAAAAATTGAACTCCATCTTTTTTCTAGGACCAAAGCAATTCAACTCAGATACCAGTACAAATGTGACATACCTGTTCTAAAGTCTGACTTGGAAGATGTGCTTCTGTCATGCTCAAACCATAGCGCTGAGTGGCTAAATTCCTCATTTCACTATATGTGGCCCAGTCATGCAGAGCCACTGTGGTAAGATTGTAGAATGTCTTATCTAGATAATGTGTCACATGAGCTGTAATAAAATAAGGAGAAAGTAACTGAGTATTTTTTTTCTCTTCAGAATTTGAAAATAGCACACAGAAAAAGAACTGGCCCATTCTTCGTATGCCACATAGAATTAAATACAGTAATCTGAGAAATGTTCAATATACTGTAAGTAACTTCTGGAGCTGTGGCAATCTTAATGTTTAAGACAGACAATTTCCCAGAAAGCAAGGCAAGAGAAGGAAGAGATTTTAGAGTGACAGAAACAGTACCTAGCTTTGATAGTTAGGATTAAGTAAGGCCTACCTTTGATATCTATGAACCGATTGAAAAATCGAATAGGATTCAAAGTAAAGAAGTGAGCCAGGTCCTTCATGCCGACTTTGAATGGATTTCTGTCATCCAGCTTTAAATGTGTGTGCACAGAGAGCCGCAGGTCCTTTTCTATTTCTTTGCATAATTTGTCCAGAAGGTGCTGCCCAAAGCAAACATAATTTAAAAACCGACATCATTCTCATGAAATGGGACACACTGATTTTCACAGGACACACATTAGTAACTATCCACAGTGTCCCTTCTCCATTGGGAAAATCAGCAGAGATATTTTACTCAAAAATAACAAGAGAAAGTGAGCCATTCCATATGCTATATATAATAGATAAGTGTACAACTTTCCCCTCAGAATGCAAATATTGATCACCAACCAATTAAAGTACTTCAAATTTAAGAGGTATATTATGTGTTATTTTTTTTCTTAACCAAAGGCAAGACAAAACACAAGAGAAAATGCAGCAAAGAGGGGGCAGGAATACTGAAATAAAGTAAAATTAAAATATGCAGAATATATAAAAAATGCATAACATGTTCAGAAGCACATGCTGCTGAGCGAAGGTAAAAGAGAAATCAAAGAGAAAGAAAGCCAAAAATTAGTGTAAGATGTCTGTTTAGAATTTCTATTAACTTCAACTTTTTCCATTAACTCTACTCACTTTAAAAATACTGTAAAACTACCAAATGCAAATATACACAAGTAATTTTTTAAACTTAATCTAATATACATAACTTGGCACAGCCATTTATTGGAAAGCAGCAGTTACTGTTCTTTGTTTATATTACTATTACTGTAGTTTAATAAACATTTGTAATGTATGCTTTTAAAAGTACTGTATGTTTGCATGTACATTGTTACTTATCTTGAGCTTTGATGAGGAAGGGTTGGGTATTAATTGAGTAAAATAATCATCATTATTATCAGCAAGTCACAATTTAAGAATTAGCAGCCAACCAAGTCACACAGTTAACTACTATGATGCTTCACTGTGTTTAGATAATAGATACATAAAGAACTATAAAATCACTACAACTCCAACCACTCCCTGTATGATTTTGGCTATCTCTGATTGGCCATCTCAATACTAAGTGGCTTGGAGAAGCTCAACAAGAAATACAGCACACCACTTCTAAGAATTCATACATTTAACCATTGTTAGTGTTCTGATTTGTAGAGATTTGCTCTGCAAAACTACAGATTAGGCATCCTTCAGTATTGAGAGACTATGGTAACATGCTCTGAACAGAGGACTTGGAACAGCATCTAGTGTGGCTAAGAAGGCCAACTCCAGAGTGACAATCCCTTCCACACTGAAGACAAATGCAATCTGTCCCCTGTTCAGTTCCCTGATTTTGCTGGTTTTGAGACTGCCTCTACAGGACGCTGTATAAAGTGAAGGACTCTTTTTCTTATTTGTAGCAATAGCTACAAGAATAGTATATATGTTCTATATGTATACCACACAACAATTTCAACAGCAGATTTTAATAGACACTCTTAATAACTTTCGTACCAAGTAAATGCAATACTTGTAATATCACCTTATTTAAAACATCCATAATTTCTTTGTCATAGCTTTCCAGAAGAATCTCATATGATTCCAGGTGTCTTGAATGCATCATAGCTGGTACACAATCTCGTAAGGCACTAAACATGTACTGTAAAAAAAGTTCCAAATGAATTTTTAGAAAGACAACAATACAGGCCAAAAAGTATTTTAAAAAAACACAAGCACTTCAAACTCAGGATCCACAACAATGGCAGATCACTAAGGCTGATCTGAGATGCGCTTGTAGACCATAGTTTACAGCTAAGACATAAACCCACTGCTTGCACACTCCATTCTTCCCCACTTCTCTTTCGGTGTAGCTACCGGGGGACGAGAAACTTCAATTTCCATTATCTGCTATCTAGTGTGCCATTCAATCTGTGAACTGTAGTAGCCCGTAACTATAGTTAACTGAGCCAGCTTCTTAAACAATGGTTTGAATTCAGATAGTTTCAATCAAGGATAGTTATTATTAAGAATAGTTAATTCAGGTTTACAAGATTCATTTAAAATGGATGCTAAACATTTTGAATTTTTTCTTAGTTACAGGGGTGGGGACAAGAGAAGCAGAAAGAAGCCTACGAGGGGGTGTTGATAAGTATTGAGCCTTTCCCAGAAAATATTGAGCTAGGAAGCTGTAACTGCCACACTATTCTACATATTCCCCCAGGAAGTCAATGCAGTTGCGACACCTGTTCTGCAGCTTCTTAAGTCCCTGCAAATAAAATTCTTCCGAATGCTGGTGTAACCATTCGTTTGCAGCATTAGTTGCCCCCAGAACACTCCCAAATCGTTGTCCCTTTAGGTGTTTGAGTTTGGGGAACAGATAACAGTCAGAAGGAGCCAGGTCAGGAGAATAGGGTGGATGGGGTATCACTTGAAATCTTAAGGACGTCAGTTTTGCCATTGTTTCACCTGCAGTGTGTGACGAGGCATTGTCATGCAATAGGATGACACCTTTGGAGAGGTTTCTTCAACATTTTTCCTTGATGTTTTGCCTCATCTTCGGCAATAAAGCACAGTAATATTTTGCATTGATGGTTGAACCCTGTTGGAGGTAGTCCACCAGCAGAACTCCCTTCTTATCCCAAAAAACTGTTGCCATTTGCTTCTGCACCGACCTTTGCACTCGGAATTCTTTTGTCCTGAGGGAACCACTGTGCCTCCATTCCTTAGACTGTTCCTTTGTCTCAGGATCATAACAGTAGATCCATGTCTCATCAACAGTTACCAGTTTGCCCAGGAAATCTGACTCATTTCTTGCAAAATGTTCCAAAACAGCCACCGATGACTCCACATGTTTCCTCTTTTGTTTGGTTGTCAAAAGTTTGGGGGTCCGCTTTGCTGCCAGCTTTCTCATTTCCAAGTCATTGTGGATAATGGCACCAACTCTCTCACATGATATTCTCAGGTATATAGCAATACTTTTGGCTGATATTCAGCAGTCCTCCATGATCATGTCATGGATGGCTTTCACATTTACAGGCACAGAGACAGAAACAGGCCTTCCACTGGGTTTCTCACTTTCAACACCAAAATGGCCAGTTTTAAAATTGACAACCCAATGTTTGACTGTTGCATATGAACAGCCACTGTCACCCATAGTTTGTGACATTTCATCATGGATCTGCTTTGCACCTTTCCCTTGGATAAACAGGAACTTGATTATGGTCCTATGCTCTTCCACACTGAACTTTTCTGGAGATGCTGCCATGTTCACTTTGGACCTGAACATGAAAGATAAATTAAAATCATAGGTAGCTGATTTTTGCACCATTGAATACAGAGAAATTGGCCAATACACCCTGCAATTTATAGCTTCCTAGCTCATTTTTTTCTGGGAAAGCCTCAATTCTTATCAGCACCCCCTCGTATATGCCCAAGATCCATGACAGCTTGTTCTTGAACTAATAAACCATGTTTAGCATGAAATCAAAACCAGGTGTAAGTATTCATTTCAAGCCAGCCCTAAATCTCTACTTCGAAGAGTTTTAAAAACATATTTCTGAAATATATTGACCTAGTTTAAATAAACATATGAACCACTATAAACCACACTGTTGTTCCCTTTCCCTTCTCTCCTCTTTTCTTTAGCAGGTTTTAGTTCCACTATTCTGTTAAAAAAAACTTTGGGAAGCACAGCCATTTTCCAAGCAAACTTCATTAACAAACTATTAAACCATGCCTTCGTATATTTGAAATAGATTTAATATGGTAATCTTGCCTACTTACATGTAACCTAGCAGCATCAACTGCATTTTCATATACATCATCCAAATAAATTGGAAACACTGTTCTGTGCCAGTACAAGAAGGAACAGTCACACTGTGCTTGGACTCTGGAATGGGGAAGTCACAGTTACTGAGCAAGAAAGCAAACATTTATTGTTTCTACAGCATTGATTTTGATATGTATTTACTTAGGTGCACAGGAAGAGCCCTATTGGATCAGATCAAGACCTTCCTAGTCTAACACTCTGGTCTCCTAGTAGCCGAATGTCAGATGTTTGTGGACATCAAGTCCACAAATAGGACATAAACACAAGAGCAACCCTCCTCCTGTTCAGGTTCCCCTAAAGCTGGAATGCTCCCTCTCATATTGCTTACCATCAAGATACAACATGGTGCTCTCCAGATGTTTTCAGAAAACTCCCATAAACCTCAGTTAAGATAGCCAATTATCAGGGACTGGCTATTATGTGCCATCAAGTCAGAACTGGTTTATAGCAATCCTAAGAGGGCTGGATAGCTCAATAGTTTAGGTAGCAGGCTGTGGAGCCAGAAGTTGGGAGTTTGATTCCTCACTGTGCTTTCTGTGAGTAGAGCCAGCCTGTGTGGCCCTGGGCAAGCTACAGAGTCCCAGGGTTCCTTCAGAAGAAGGGAGTGGTAAATCACTTCTGAGTATTCTCAACCTGGAAAAGTGTGAAAGGGTCACCATGAAGCAGAAATGACTTGACAGTACGTGATTATTATTTAATCTTATGCTGCAAGGCTATACTTATTTTCCCCTAACCTCTGTGTGGCATTACTTACCGCTCCCTAAGCTCACTGATTAAGGCCATCTTTTTCAGAACCACCTGAAGAGGAAGGAGTTCTTCATCTCTGAATGTTTTCTGAAGGAAAGAAAGGGGGGAAGGGAACAGCATGTGGAAATGTCAGACTAAGGGCTGGATCGCAACCACTTCTGCTGTCATTGCTGGTAAAACTGTGCAATATTCAGATATGGGAGGAAATGTTCCACTTACCATTTGTGTGCCCACACTGAGGGCAAGGGAAACAATGAGCCTCCTCTGTTTTGTGCTAGGACCAGTGAGGATGTTTTCAGCCAGCACAAGAGCAGAGAGTACATCAAGGCGCTGTTCACTGTACTTTTTGTCAGAAATGACTCTTTTCTTGATTTCAAAACACAGAGAAGAATTGGGAACAAATAAACCGTGCTTATTAATTTGCCACATTTATTTCCCTCTAGCCCCTTTCCCTTTTCCCAGCTTAAGTACTGTCAGCACATTTGTGAAGTCCTGACATTACTGAGGACTTGTTCAAAGCCCAGAGAACACAACTGGAGCTTTGGAGATGCCAGCAAACACTCTCAGTTGGAGACTATTCTGCACAAGTACCTTTCAAGCAAAGGGGAGTTGTCCAGGAATGCAGATTCTCTTTAGTTTCAATGGACAAGTCCTCAGTGAACTCAAGAAGGTAATTAGTATTGCTTATACGATCTTTCACTCTCTTCAAGCTCATTCATCCATGCTCTAACATTTCAGAGCATCTCTCCCTCTTCTGTTGAAGTGATAGGTTTATTTTGCCTTCCTCTTTGCTTTTATGTCAGTTAACAGAAGATATTAAAATATCAATTTTAGTATAATTGGTGTATGTTTGGCAGGAGGAGAAACAGTCCACATCTTGGGACATGAAGTCATTAATAAGTTGTCTTCTTCATGTAAATTTAACCAATATTAGTAAGAGACTGTTGCTGAGCTGGCGGTGAACGGCAATGTTACAATAAAACAGAATAGAGAATTATTTTCATCTCTTGATTTGTCTAAAAACCAGACCAGCGCCTTTACTATTTGATCTCTTTAGCAAGTTTCTATGAACAAAGGTAAAGATGAAGCTCTCGAGCTACTTTACAATTACTTAGTTTAATTGCATGGCACTTGGATATAAAATGCAAGTGCTTAATTGAAACTTTGATCACATACCTTGGCTACAGCAATAGCACTGAGAGCCTGATGCTGAAGATGCTGAATTATGTGCGTCACTGAGTCTGCAACAATCATACTTCGTCTGTAAAACGTATGTTCTATTGCCTGAAGTTGGTCACATGCCAGAACATAACAGTTAACACCAATGAAACAGTAATTCAAATCCATTTATTCCGATACTTGTTATTTCCTCCATCTTGAAAACTAACCTGCCCCACAACCTTCAACAGTTCCAGTCAATAAGAAAGCTGCTGTTTGGTGGGCTAGTAGGAATCTAATTCTACAGGGAAACAGAACACAGATAAAGCTATATATCTTGATTCTTCCTCTCTGTGCTAGGATAACTATGAGGCTTGCTCTGATCCTGGAGATTTTACTTTTCAAAGTGAGAGCAAGGGAAAGTATCTAGCATTCTTCAGCATGAGTAATTGATTGTATGGCAAGGATGAGATGGCTTTAACCTGACTCCCATCCCAGAAATCCTAGTCAATATCATGGAGAGGGAGTGTAGCAACAGCACCCACCTCAGACCTCAAGGAAATACGCAAGCATTTGTGAGAGAACAACCCTAGCTGTCTGTATAAAAAGGGACACAGGAACATAATGATTATCCACTGCTACTCAAATAAATATGTTTAATTAAACAACTGTTTATGTCTATTATGTCCTTTCCATTCACAGATTAAACACACATCCCACAATTCACCTCCTAATGAGGTATGCTAATATAATGCATATTAGGTTTACCAACTAAGAAATATCTGAAAACTGTAACTTACTTTGAGTAGCTCCACAAGCCTGCATAACGCCTTAACTGAGGTTTTAGTCATTGGCTTTTGCATGGACATATGCAGATTCATTGTTGTTTTAATGATGTTGCTAAGACTATAAGCATACAGAAATCCCTAGAGATAAATTGGAAAGAGAAACTGTAATCCTAGATATCTGTTAGAATATTATAAACAAGTTTGCCTATTCCACATTAAATACAGCTGTCCCAGATGCAAGGATGCTCTCAGGAAAACAGAAGGAACAAAACAAACACACTGATGATTGGTATCTTACTACATCCAAATAACGTTGGATTTAAACTAAGTCATACTTATAATAGCCACACTGAAATCAGTAAGATTTAAGTTACTAACATGTAAAGTACATCCCACATATTTCAGTGTGTTTGCTCCCATGTTTCATTGAGTCTAGATTCAGCTATATTTACATTACAATCTGGAACTGCACACTGCTGTTTACCAGTTCAGGTGGAAACAGTAGCAGAGGAAGAAATCTGCACTGTATGAAATGGGAAGCAGGAGTGCCCTATTCACATACTATGAAAATAGATAAGACATTGTATCTGAACTATTTCTACGGATTTTCAGAAAGTAAATTATCAAGCCCTGCAAGCAAACATAATGCTCATAGTATAATTTGATTGGCCGGCTGCATGCATAACTTCACAAAATGTGTATATACAAGGCAATGGTACTATGTATAAAGTTTATATTTCATATTTATACACAGTAGGACCACCATATCCACTGGGGATTGGTTCCATGGCTCCTGCGGATACCGAAAACCACAGATAATAACAAGCAGTATATATACGGTACATAGCATGATAAAAGGAAAAAAACAAGGTTTGTTTTTACATGTATTACTAGAACTGGCCACTAGAGTGCACCAGGGGCCATGCTATGTATTCTTCACTAACAAGTATTCATAGCATGGTCTCTGGCTCCACTTGGTGGCCTGCTATGGTAATACATGTGAAAATATTTTTTTCTAGATCTTTTACTTTTAATATTTTTAATATTTTCAGATCAGGATAAGTGAAACCAGGGATACTGATCCCACAGATATGAAAGACCTACTGTAATTTAAAAATTAAACCGAGTTAAGTGAAACCATGGATACTGATCCCACAGATATGGAAGTCCTACTGTAATTTAAAAATTAAACCTGCTTTCCCCATTTCCCTCTTAAATACAGGTGATCAAGAAAATTGCATCTGTCAATTAAGCAGCATTTTCTAAACATGTCGTTTTAGAACCTGTAACACACCTGTATAAAAACATTGCACCTATTGGTTGGATCTTCTGCAAAACCATGGATACTGATCCCACAGATATGGAAGTCCTACTGTAATTTAAAAATTAAACCTGCTTTCCCCATTTCCCTCTTAAATACAGGTGATCAAGAAAATTGCATCTGTCAATTAAGCAGCATTTTCTAAACATGTCGTTTTAGAACCTGTAACACACCTGTATAAAAACATTGCACCTATTGGTTGGATCTTCTGCAAACCTATCTGTGTGTTGATCTTTTGACAATATAGACTCCATTTTCATCATCCATGAACTAACAAACACATAATATGACTGCATCTCCCTGAGAAGAAAACAAATAGCATAATTTAAATGTTCAAAGGGATACACCAAATCAAGATTAAGTAAACTGTGTTTTGAAATGATGTCTGAATTTATGATCAGCTGGCAAACAAATAATCATTTGTGATCAGCTGTCAAACCAGGAAGCACAGTTTAAAAAAGATTTGCACACCAGGAACTCCTTCAACTGTTGTATGGAAAACCGTTTTAATTGGCAAACGGTTACAACCACTGCTCCAATTCCAGGTGGTGTTGCACTACATCACATGATGATGGGAATGAATTTATGAAACGAAGTACAGTGGTGTACATTGCACCTATTGGTTGGATCTTCTGCAAACCTATCTGTGTGTTGATCTTTTGACAATATAGATTCCATTTTCATCATCCATGAACTAACAAACACATAATATGACTGCATCTCCCTGAGAAGAAAACAAATAGCATAATTTAAATGTTCAAAGGAATACACCAAATCAAGATTAGGTAAACTGTGTTTTGAAATGATGTCTGAATTTATGATCAGCTGGCAAACAAATAATCATTTGTGATCAGCTGTCAAACCAGGAAGCACAGTTTAAAAAAGATTTGCACACCAGGAACTCCTTCAACTGTTGTATGGAAAACCGTTTTAACTGGCAAACGGTTACAACCACTGCTCCAATTCCAGGTGGTGTTGCACTACATCGCATGATGACGGGAATGAATTTATGAAATGAAGTACTTAGGGGACAGAAAAGAAGAACAAATGAGCAACAGGCATGGGATTTCCAGGGATTTCCCCCCCCCCCAACTACAAGTACTGTACCAGAATTCAACAGACATGGGATTTTTCACTACAACCAGCAGAATTCAGCAGGAATTCCCTCAGCTAGAATTCTGGTAGTTTTAGCCAAATAATTCAAATTTTCAGGAGACCTTCAGAATTCGTCCCATGTTCCTAGGCTAGGCTTACTCTGCAGATGGCTATTAAAGTACATTTATATATTAGGGAGCAGTAGACTCTCTGTTCATTAGGTCCTGTAGTGTAAACGGTGCCTCGAAAAAAATTACCACTCCCCAAATGCTTTGCTGCTCCCATGGAGCTTAGAAAAGAGCCATTAAATCATGGGGATGGTTGGACATCTGTGGATAGGGCATTGGTGAGGAACACATGAGGTTCCTGAAATTCCCCACAGAATTTTAATGCCTTGGCTAAAACTGCCAGTATTCTAGCTGATGAATTTCCTCCTGAATTCTGCTAGTTGTAGTGGAAAAATCCCATGCCTGACAAGCAACTCTAAACCACGGTTTGAGTTCTGAACTATGACTAGTGCAAATCATACTTTGCCATGTGTAATGTAAACCAATGTAAATATCTAAAATAATATAATAATAATGAACATAACTTGATTCATTTCACAGGTCTAATAATATATTAGTCTTCAAATAAAACATCAGACTGAATACATTCACACGTGCAACTCCTCTACCTGACCACATTAATATTAGGGCTGATAGGCACCCAATTACCGATGGCTCTCTCTGTCTTCTCCCCAACCACACTGCTTGCACAGTGATTCCATCATGTAAATTAGGCAACTCCAAAGTCTCCTTACATAAAGCATGTGTAATGGATTTTCAGCTAGTGCTTCCAGTGTTTCAGTTTATCAACGTTTGTATGTGTGTGCAAAAAAATATTTGTGCAAACAGAAATCTTATGTTCTGAACTTACTTGGTAAGTGATTGAGCCTTCTGCTGTAAGAAACTTTCTCTTTGTAACTTAATGGACTGAAAACTTTTCTTATCCAAAAGCTTGGCAACAGCTGGCATCTTTTGGTTCAGAAAATTGTCAGGAAACCAAATAATATTAGCAGTAAGTGTGATGGCTGGCACCTGAAGAAAAACAGTAAAAATCATAACAAAGGAATAGGAAGTCCTTATTGGTGCCAATACTGAATCTCCTTCCTGAAAGTATCACATTCAAAATGAAATCCAGGTATTCACTACATTGCTTACACAGATATCCTTATACACACATGCACTGCTGAAGTTCCATCAACTATTCCGGGAATACACATATAACAAAGGTATTTAAACAAAGATTGCACGGCCTTTGCTCATAGATGCTTCAGGTGTGAACTGCATGCTTTGGCAGAGGGCCAGATTCAATTATGCTTGAGGTTCCTTCCAAATCTATTTTTCCAGTTCTATTTTTTCTATCAGGCTTTCCTTTAAATGACTGGTTGACAAAGGGAAGTTTTTAAGAGGGATTACTGCATGCTGTTGTTTTACTTGTGCTTTTAATATTGGTGTAATTTATAATGTTTTAATATTTGTTTAATTCTTTTTTAACATAGTAATAACTTATTTTAGCTTTTAACTTTGTTTCTTTTAAAACTGTAAGCTATTTTGGATCTTTTAAATGTTGTAAATAAAATGAAATAAAAAACAGTCAAGGTTTAAGACCCATTTCAAGTCAAAGCATTGCATTTCCTCCACTGTTTCTTCAGGATTTTGGGCTCTACTCAGCTGCCTTATTCTGCAGTATCAGCATGGCCCAGAATCATAGGACAAGGCTGTGAAAAAGAAGGTGGTGAAGCAGGGGAGCAAGATAAGATACCTAGAGTTCCTAGCAGCTCAAGAAATAATGGGGAAAAATTACTGCACCTAATGCTTCAGCAAAAAGTTTTTATAGTTTGACTGAAAATGGCATCACACAACAAACAGAAATGACAAAATTGTGCCACTTCTTCACAGGATGCCATTCAAGCATTGACAGACATGATAAGAGACCAATGGAATTAGCATTAAATCCCTAGACAGAACAGCTTAATCTGATTGCTTCTGTAAATTGTATTACTCTACCACTGTGGCACATCTCATCAAACACAAGCCATATTCAGTAATAATGTAATCATGTGTAATCTTTACATGACAAGGTGAACATGCCAGCTGGATTTCCAGCTTTCATCTTTTTCACTGCATGAAAGGAACAGTCTGAAAAGGGGGAGCCTCCTCTATCTAAGTAACCTCACACAGACCCAAACTTTTGGGGGGTTCTTGTTATTTGCAGAGGCTACCGAAATACAACAGTCTTTCCCTTTTCTCATGTTCAAAGTAATGATGAAAAGGGCAGGGCTAATGCACTCCCCTCATCATATGTGGATTACATGCTCACTGCAAAACTAAGCAGAACCTTAGATAAGAAGATACATGCTTTAAACTTAAAGTCTTTCATTAGGGTACAATCCTAAACACATTAGTCTGAAGGAATCCCACTAAGTAAATATGGTTATAAATTACTACATTTATAGCCATTACTGTCAATGAGAGCACTTTTGCAATTTACTTCAAAAAATAAGACATGTTTTGTTTCATCCCTTGCATCTCGAATGCTACAACTGTAAAGGCAACATTCTGCAATTCCTTTAGCCTACAGACAACATATGAACATCTCTTATTCAGTGAAGACAACACAATCAAAGCATGAAAACATTTAAAAATAATATAAATATTTAAAACCCAAAATTATGATTATGAACGAGAGCTAGTAACAATACTGATGAAAAATATGATTCCTTGCAATCCCATCCTCAAGGATCTAATCTAAACTGTTTCTATAAAAGCTTTTTCACATTCTGTGTGAAATGTAAACTATTAAAGAAAAGTTACAAACAGCAAAACCTTCACCTTTTTGCAAATGTCCAGTAACGATTTGTAAAATTTCTTGTCTACAGTCCGAAAAATCTGAAAATGCAGTACAAACAGCCCACAAATTCCTACGTATTTATCTCTCTGGTCAATTTCTGAAGGTTCACCTTGTACAAATACACACAGAAAAGAATATTTTTGAAGTCTGTCAATGTAAGAACTTTTACAAACAATAATGTCAATGCAAAAAATGGCTGTCTTGTGTTACCAAGTTTAGCTTCAATGTTTGCAAAAATTGTGCGAATACTATATGCAAACTCTTCAGCAAAAGTGCTATTCTTCGACACTGTCAGTCCACCATTAAAGCAATCAAACTGCTGTTCTATACAAGCCTGAATGAGGACAAGAGAAATAAGAACAATTTACAATACTAGCACCATAGAAAACATCAGTGCAATGTATAATACAGGAGAGAAATTTTAATTCATTACATACATAATTTAAATAACAAGCTGACCTTATTTGGGGAATTTCTATTTCAGTAAGGTCCTATTAAAAATCTGATTAAAACTGGTCAGTGGCTATGAACGATTAGTAGATTAGCTTGATCTATTTCAATATGAGATTCAACTAGTTTCATAAGGGATTTTTTTAAAAAAAACTGAACACATTTCTGGACTAATTAGTTTCTATAAATATGTGCTAGTAAGGAGTACCACTCAAACATTAGTGTTGAAAAGAAAGCCTTTGGAGTTTTTAAAAATTCAGCATGACTGATCCCAGAATGCCATGCTGGATCCACCACTCAAAAAGTAGGTTGTATCTGCCTGTAATAAGCCATGACTCTTGGCTAGTTCTAGTTTACTGAATGCTGGCATGTGCAGCACATTCATTTCTTCTTTGCTCACAGGAGAGAGGGGAAAGCATACTAATTAGAAGTAAGATAGCCAATTTAATTATGACAATTTCTAGAAGGTAAGCATTTGACTCTATAGGATTTTACGTGATACATTTACAATTTCTTACAAGGGTCTGAAATGTGTGGTGCTCCAGATACCATTGGACTGCAACTCCCAAGAGCACTGTCTAGCACAGCGCATGGTGAAAGATGCATAAGGTTAGGCTACACATTCCCTAACCCTGTGCTGTCAGGAACATAAATTCATTAATACTTAATATGTTACCTGGAATATCATTCCATCCAATAGTTGACTTTCAAGTTTTAATAGCAGCTTTTCAAACGGTTTCAATTTGTCTTCCTGTATTCCAAATTTAGAAGGATTGTGATGGACAGATTTTAGTAACCTTACGGAGCAAAACAAAAGAAAAGCAGTAAAAATAAATGCAACAAAACTCCACATTATCAATACATGGTGGGGTATATCCAGAAACTTTCAAAAGGGAAGACAAATTTAAAGAAAGAGATGATGCTTAAACGTTTTCATTAAGAAATAACTAAATTCCTTATTCTTGCATGCATGTGCACACACAGACAATGAAGAAACTTGTAACCACTTCACTGCACAACTGTACTCCTGGGACAGAAAAATACTAGGAATTATGCTAAAATCATGTAATTTTCAGAAACAGTGTTCACTGATAAAGATGGAGGCCAAAGGTGTTAACCAGCATAACAGAAAACTTAAAAATAGTTGACCTCAAATGGATCACTTACACTAGACCAATAAAAGCAATAATATGTCAGAACAATATTTAAGCTTTTATTGTAAGTCAGTAAAAATGGAGAAAGAGAAAATAAATAAGCACAAGAGTAGCAAGGCATAGGAATACCAAATTTATGAAGTTTACTGGGTGAAATGCACTAAAATCCCTATTCAAGTCTTAATGGAATGAATAGGTACAGTATGGTCCCTTGTTGGGAGAAATGCGGCATATACTGTATTTTTCCGTGTATACGACTATACTTTTGTCTAAAATCTTTAGAATAAAAATTGAGGGTCGCCTTATACACGGAAGTAAGCTTAGGAAAGAACAAAAACAAGTGGAAGGGAAAGCGATCCTGCAGGGCTTTGATCCCCTTTTCCCTACACTTGCTAAGTCCCATTTAAGATTTCTTACTTTTGCGCAGAAAAGGGGGGCATCTTATACATGAGGCGTCTTACACATGGAAAAATACGGTAAATAAAACTAATAAATACCCCTTCAAGCGGTCACACTATTGATACTTCTTTCTTCTACTGCGGACATAAATGTTAAAATGTACCTTTTGTACATAGTCCAGTGATCTTTCAGGGTGGCATGGTTATTCACTATCTCATCCAGAGTAAGCAAAACTGTCAGCAGTTCCCCCAGATGCTCATACACAGCCTGTTTGAAAAGTTGCATAGGGTTTAGACTACAAACATCGACCCACTTTACCTGGGGGTAAGCTGTAATGAATTCAGTAGCACTTTGCATTCACAGTATTCCCAAGAAAACTTGACATATTCATTGAATGTAAAAGACCATAAAAGTACATGAGTGCACTGCTGTCATCATTATACTCTGGGCAGTGAAAAGGGGTTTTATTGTGAGCCAATTATAGAACCAGGATCAATTCAACTGTTAAATATAAAAGAATATTCACAAGGAAGGCAACCTCCAAGCTATTAATGTGCAAGATGTTATGGTGCACCATTTCAAAACTCCAGATTAATCCTCACCTGAAAATGAACTCCTGATGTTTCTATAACTTTGGGTGCATTTCTGAAAGACAGAAAATATTCAATTTTACATCATTTAATTAAGTTACTTTAGGCACAAGCTTTTAGCAGTCTTAAATAAATTCACTATAGTAATGTATTGTTAAGTCACATTTGACTTGTGTGACGCTGTGAATTAAGGACTTGTAAAAGGCCTGCTCAGATCTTGCAAACTCAAGGCTATTGGCTTTCTTTATTGAGTAGATCTGTATCATATGCACCTAATGTCTCAGAACAAATGCCTACACATACATCTTAAATTGTTGCAATTCACAGTAAGATTTATGCTGATGGGCTTACGATGAGTGAAAGCAATAGAATTCTGGCCAATATAACTGCAGTTTCCAAAATGCAAGAAATATACACCCCAACCCAGCATGTACCCAGTGTGGTAAAGAGTCAGAGTGAGGGACTGGGACAAGGAGACCTGGATTCAAATCTTCTACAGTGGTGCCCTGCATAACGACGACCCCGCACGACGATGAAACCGCTTGACAACGATGGTTCCTATGGATTTCTTTCGCTTTACGTCGATTAGGTCCCTGCTTCGCAAACCATTTGTTCACAAAACAATTATTTTTCCAGCTCCACAAAATGGCTTCCCTTCACAAAATGGCATCCCTCCTTCACAAATTGGCTGTTTTCCGGACAGAAGCTTCGCAAAACAGCAATTTTAAACAGCTGATCGGCCATTCTCTATGGGCGATCTTCGCTGGACGATGAGGTATTTCCCCATTGGAACGCATTAACTGGTTTTCAATGCATTCCAATGGGTATTTTTTCGCATGACGATGATTTTGCTGTACAGCGATTTTGACAGAATGGATTATCGTCGTCATGTGGGGCACCACTGTACTCTCTTAGCTTGTGACCCTTATTAGAGTCACTACAAGTTGGTCCCAACCTGATAGCATATATAATAGTACCTTGATTTATGAAATTAATCTGTCATCCGGGATGTTATGTAATTGGGAAATTATGTAAACTGGAACACAGATTGCCGCAGCAATCAGAGCGGCACTAGAAACCTCCAGGTGCAATGCGTCCTTTTCGTACAGCGAAAAAACCCCGTAAAAACGTGAACCAAGGCATTATTTCTTACGGATTTCGGCTCATAAACCAAAAATTATGTAAACCAAGGCGTATGTAAACCAAGGTACGCCTGTAATATTACATAAAGCCACCAAATAACATACAATCATTTGAGAGCTATTAAGTAATGAAACTAAACTGAAAAAGCACATTAAATCAAAGGCCTGCTCAAGTTTTGATTCAGAAAATTAATCACACACCAGAAGCAATAAAACATCTGTAACTACTCACCCACCCACCCAGTTCTTGCAATCGCAGATAGTTAGTGAAAGCCAGTAATTTATTCAGCTTCTGGCAGGTCATAATGACCAGCAAAAAGCACTGGAGCTGGAATATAACAAGCTGTAGAGAACTGTAATAGTCCCTCCACTTATTAACAGCAGTTTGTGTTGGTATCTAGCCTTTATTTAGCTTTTTACTTTCAAAGTTTTTCACTCTGTATAACAAACAAAACCAATTAATATGATATGGTTCTAAGCTGCTATATGAACTACAGCAGCCAGAATACATGCTAAATTATCATCCGTGAATAAAATAAGTTATGTTTGCAGGACTGAATACTGTTAAAAACAAAACTAGGAGAGAATTACTCTGGGCTATAATAGCACATAGTATACAAAGTATACAATGACCACACAAAAAGCAAACTACTTGAAAGATGAACATGTTAACGACATTAATATTTGTAACATTTTGTGGAATTTTTCAGCAATGCCAAGCACCTTAACTCGTGTGCTGAATATTTTCATGTGATGTTTACTCTTCTGAATTCATTTTTCAAAAGTGGACACCCGCAACAGCTAGTCATTTCACAGATAAATTCTTACCGAGCAGAATCCCCTAATCACTATGAATATGGTCCACTTGCCACACTGCAATTCTACATTCAAGAGCCAGTGAGTAACCCTGGTTTCTCATGTTGTCTAAATCTAGACAAACTAGTGTTTATCTTAACCATGTTAAAGGGAAGAAGCTAACATTAAAATGTATTTGTTTCTACCAACTCCAGTAAAGATTCACATGCCACATGAGTTCCAAAGTATGCTTTGCTAAAACTGAAGTAGAAACTTTTGTTCTCCTCATGGTAAGAGTAGAAACCAGTGAAACTAGATTCATTATTGTAATGCTGAACTGTGATTTAGTATTACATCCCCATATAGCCAGATATTATTTTACGAATGCAATGGATACTTCAGACACATACCCCACATTCCCTCCCAAAATACACAAGATATAGGAAGCATTTCAGCATGATACTGTATGTGTGCGCGTATTCAACAAGTAAGTTTGAAGAACATTACTGCCAGTTAATTACTTGTTACTGGTATAAAGGACAGCCAGCTGGTGAACTACATTCATCACTACTTCATAGCACCGGGTCACAAAACAAGAGAGCTCCTGAAATGATATAAATCATACAGATGTGCATTAGAAACTGCTCCTCACAAAATGAATGTCCACTGGCTGAAGGGTAATGAACCAAATCAACTTTCCAATTATGTCCTTAACATCTGGATAGAACAACCAAAACTGCAGCCATGTGAAAAAAGCTCTAATTACTTAATGGCCAATATCCTGTTGCCCTGCCCAAGAAGAGTGGTGTCACTGGCAGTGACAGACTCCCACTAATAAAAAGTATTTTTTTTTCAATTATAGAGAGCATGACTTCACTTCACTGATTGTGAATTGTGCGTAACCCCAATATTTAAAAGGGGGGATTACTTCATTAGGAACAGTCTGCTGGTGGTCACATTCCTCCTATAACTCTGTGATTTACTTTGACACAGTAATCAACAGTTAGAGTAGGCCATTTGAATGAATGGAACTCACTGGCTCATTAAATCCCCATCAGTTCCATGGCCCACTCTACTGCAATTAATGATGCTAAACAACAGAATTTCAACCTGTATCTTTTTTTACTTACTTATATTTTTCTTTGTTTTTTACATAAGATTTCAAACCATCTAACTTTATCTATTTATTATTCATTTGTTCCCAAGTCTAGAACTCAAAGTGTACTGCCAATATCCTTGATGTAAAACCTGTGATGTTTTTCATGCTGACTTTCACACTCTGTAGTTTTCTTTTAATACGAGCAACAATGAAGGCCCAGCCACAGATCTGTACAGTTTTGCAACGACCGCATTAAAATTACTGTTACTGGCTCTGCAAGCAGGAAACTGACTAACCAAAGATTAGGACTCTGCCTACAGAGTGAGGAACAACTAGTCAGCATTTTCTGTTCTCTGGAAATTTTAATGGCCTCGTGCCCTGGAAAGCTACAAAAGAAAAACAATTTTGAAAAATGAAAAGTGTAAACTGCCTGAAAATTTTCCTAGTAACAGAACATGAAATAGTAGGCAGTTATCTGACTCGGGTTATGTCTCAGTGGTTCTGAAGGGAAGGCAGAAACAGATAAAACTGAGCAAATTTCTCCCATCCCACTCCCATTAAAGACCAATATGCAAAAGATTTCAGGAGTATTGGCCACCAACTTATTTTAATTCTGAACAAAACATCCCAGAACCTGTATTTTGCAAGGAAAAATGACCTCGACATGCAGCAATCACATGGCACTAAATAATACAAGTCACAGAAACAAGAATTCAAACAAAATACAGGAAATTAAGCAGTTCATGCCCTTCTTATTTTCTTTTAATACAATCTTAATATAATTTAAGTGTTCTCTGAACAGCTGTTTTCAAACAAACATTATTTAAATAAAAAAACTCAACGTTTCAATTATATACATTTAAGCAAGAAACAAATACAGCTCTATTCTGTATCTTATGCTTCACTGTTTTATCTTGTATCTGAAGGCCAGACACCACAAATCACGCAGTTCTGTGGTCTTTTTTCACAACTCAGCAGCAAGAACAAACAGACTAAAGGCCACACTCCTCAACCGCTGACTAACAGGGAGGGCAAGGAAGAAATGGCATTGCTTTTCTAACTATCTACATGGGTCTACAGCGGTGCCCCGCATAGCGAGGTTAATCCGTTCCAGATTAACCTTCACTATGGGGAAACATCGCTAAACGGAACGGAAAAGCCCGTTCCAAATGGGCCCAAAACTCACCGTTCTGCGATGTTTCCCCATCCTGCACGTATCCATTTTGGGTGTTCCGGCAGCCATTCTGGGTGTTCTGGCGGCCATTTTGGAACTGCCGAACAGCTGTTCCCCCATTGCAATGCGAAGATCGGTAAGCGGAAAGCTTACCGATCGTTGCAAAGCGATTGTCGCCCTATTACAACATCGGTATGCGATCGCATTACTGATCGCAAAATCCGCATCTCTATGCGGATTCATCGTTAAATGGTGTGCTCGTTATGTTAGGCACCACTGTACTTAACACCAGTTGCTTTTCTCCTCACAAGGAGGAGTGAACTTTTGACTTGCCCTTTTTAACCTGGATAACCTTGTTAATATATGGAACTGTGTGGATAAGCAAGTATTTCAAACATATTTTTAAAGCCATTTAGGAACTTGAACTGGGATGCATTTTAGCATATATGCACAAAAGACAACAGATCAAGGAAATGTACATACTTCTACTGAACATGTGAATGTGCTGTTGGGATATTTCTTTGGTGTTTCCCAAGAATGGCATGAAGTGCTAAAGAAACCACAAAACCAGTTAATGGACAATCACAGAGCGGAAGGCTCACAATGAGTCTGACACAAATTAATGACAATTATGTAGCAGCCTCTCCATTTCATCGAAATTCAATTACCTATGCACTTGTAAATCACTTTGGGGAAACATTTCACACAAAGACAAATATCCCTGTCACAAGTAATCATTATGAAATCTATTGCTCAGCAGAAAAAAAGTTGTAGGACTGGGTCACAGACTTTACCTGTAAAAATGAAATATATCTTCCCATCTGTATTTGGCTATCTCCCTCCACCTTACTGGAATCCATACCTTGAAGGATAAAAATGAAAGGTAAACTGCTATGAGAAATTACATTTACCTCATAAATTACACTTCGAGCTTCTTAAAATCATAAGTCAAATTCCTCTTGTGCAGCTAGCTACAAATGTGGAATGCAAACAGTGTTAACTTTGGAAGGCGAAGTGTCTCAAGTGAAGGAATCACTAGATATTATCTGTTGCATACTGAGTCATGCAAGTCAGCGTGCAACAGACAATATCTACACAGATTGCCTAACTTGAGGCACTTTAACTATGCAAGAGCATTTTTGCCTGCACAACTTTGCAAAAGGATTTGGGTCATAATATTAAAAATACTACCACTAAATTGTGCATTAAAGCTTAATAAAATATTGGCACCATTATTTTAAATATAATTTATTTAAAATATTTTTATTTCACTTTTCTCCTTAAAAATGACCAAAGATGTTTTACATCATTAAATTAGAGTACTGTATTTGAAACTAAAACAGTAGGTATATAAATATTACAAAGCACCAAACACAGACTGCTCTAAGATACAGCAAATATATGCAATACCAAAAACATATTCAAAGCAGTATGGCACACAATCCATTTGAAAACCCAATCAGGCAGCCAGTCACTAAGGAAAAGCTTGCCTAAAGAGACAAGTCTCCATCTGCTTGCAGAATGACAGCAAAGACACGGCCAGCCTAGCCTCCTGTATCCCCACCAAATGCAACTGTGAAGGTAGCGGGACTGAGAGGAGGGCCTTTACTGTTCATCTTAACACCCAAGCAGGCTCATAATGGGAAACATGGTCCTTGAGACAACTTGGAACCAAGTCTTTTAGGGCTTCATAGGTTAAAATCAGCACTCTGAATTGTGCCAGGAAACAGATAGGCAATCAGTGCAGCTGCTGTAACAGAGGGTTATAAGATTCCTGTAACCAGCCCTACTTAGCAATATGGCTGCTGCATTTTCGGACACTATTAAGGGGCAGACCCACGTAGAGTGCATTGCAGTAATAATCCAACCTGGATGTAACTAAAGCATGTGTCACTGTAACCAGATCAGACATCTCCAGGAATGGACACAGCTAATGTGCTAATTTTAATTGTGCAAATGTACTCCTGGCCACTGCCGAAACCTGGGCATCCAGGCTCAGAGACAAATCCAGGACTACCACCATGCTGACCAATGTCAAGACAGATTTATCCACAAGGCAAAAACTAGTAAGGCAAGACTGGCTCTGTTCCTGACTATACAACACAGTTTTATGTGAACACTGATGAGAACATTTTGCTTGGACATTGGTCAATGACAATTTATTTTAAACAGCGCAAATTCCAAAAGGTGAGTAAGGATGACTTTTAAAATGACAAGGTTCTTAGTGGCTATTATACCTGAATATAAAATGCCAAGAATTTTATGTGCACAAGAGGTACAGTGTGTATATGAACTGGTCAGGATATGTTTCATGCCAAAACTGCCACATACGATAGCATTTGAGTATACTTTATTAAGTTGCAGCCAATCAGGATTTGCTGCCATATGGTCAAATGTAAAATACTTGGCATTTTTCTCCCATGCTGTATACACGTGTATACACACAAAGTATACATAGCTTCGCTATATGTAAGTGGTATCTATGTAGCTTTTCAAGACTCAGGAAAATGCTACTGCTAAAAATGTGATTTTTGCAGCTGTTACAATTCTCTCTGCTTCCTGCCAGTGAGGCAGAAAATCAGAGGCGCCTTGTTTCCAATTTGGCAGCATATCACTGTATCTTTGAAACCAAACTGGAATAGAATTATAGCATGATCAGAGGAGCAGCATTTTAAAGTCACTCACTGCTGTAAGGTCTTTGTGTCAGAGGAGAACTTTACAATTAATAAATTTATTAGACAATTCTTGCCCAGTAGCAGGCAAAATCAAGAGCATTTGCAACAGCTAAAACTAGATCTTCCGGGGCACATGGCTTCAGGATAACACTGCATTACCTGAAACACCATAAACCCCTTCTTTCTCTAAGAATACAGAAGCATATACAGTGGTGCCTCGCTTAGCGACGTTAATCCGTTCCAGGAAAAACGCTGCTAAGCAATTTCATCGCTAAACGGAATTAAAAAGCCCATAGAAAAGCATTAAAACGTGTTTAATGCATTCCTATGGGCTTAAAAACTGACCTTATGCGAAGATCCTCCATAGGGGCGGCCATTTCCGGTGCCTGTAAAGCGAGGCAAAACAGCAGGCAGCCATTTTGTTTTTCCAGTGGCCATTTTGGAACCCCCAATCAGCTATGCAAAAAGGGTCGCTTTGCCATGATCACTTCCCCGCGATCATCGCAAAGCGATTTTTCCCCATAGGGGCCATCGCTAAGCGATTGCTCTGGTGATGGCCAAAACCCCATCGCTAAGCGATTTCATAGCTCAATGGAGCGATCGCTAAGCGAAGCACCACTGTACAGTGGTGCCCCGCATTACGAACCCGCTTGATGATGAAATCACTTGATGACTTTTTTTGCGATCGCTATAGCGATCGCAAAATGATGGTTCCAATGGGGCTTTTTCGCTGTACGACCAACCGCACCCGCTTTAGAGCACTTTGGAGGCTTTTCCTGCACTGTCAGGAAAAGCTTCCGAAGTGCTCTAAAGCAGGCATGGGTGGTTTCGGGGTACTCCCGCCATGGTTCTTCTCCTGTATCATCAGAGCCCTGGCGGGGGTGCCCCGAAACCACCCGCACCCGCTTTAGAGGACTTCTGAGGCTTTTCCTGAACCATCAGAGGACTGACGGGGGACCTCCAAAGCCGACAATCACGGCAAGGGGACCCCCGCCAGTACTCCCATGATGCTTCCCCAGCTCCCTACCCTTTAAGTGCCTTTAAAAAAAATTCCCCCTAGGAACACATTAATTTTCAATGCATTCCTATGGGAAATTTGGTTTCGTAAGACAATGTTTTCGCAAGACAGCGATTTCCGCGGAACGGATTAGCATCATCTTGCGAGGCACCACTGTATTAGGAGCCTCAGGGCACAGTGGTTAAAACTGCAGTACTGCAGTCAAGACCTTGCTCATGAGCCTGAGTTTGATCCTGATGGACTCAGGTAGTCGGTTCGAGGTTGACTCAGCTTTCCATTTTTCCGAAGTCAGTAAACTGAGCATGCTGGGGGAGTGGGCAATGTGTAGTATAGGGCAAACTCTGCCCTATGGCCTCAGAAGACCTTTGCCTCCTTCACAGCATGAATGAAACAATATTCAAAACACCATTCTGAAACCACTATGACCTCATTCATCACACTACAAGAAAGTACACAGAAACTTTTAGATAACTCCCAGGGAATATACAGTACAATACAACCCAGAATAAGCAAACTACACACTTGTCATCTCCATATTTAGCTGCCTCATCATTTGGCAGTAACATTTTTTCCATTACAAACACAGACCTTTAAACATCAAAGTATTGTGGGTGTATTTCAACAGGGATAGTTTATATGGTTCTTCAACAGTTCCATATTGGTTCAAACGCTAAACTACAATGATACAAATGTACCTGTAATACAGTATCTTTGTGCAACTAACGAAAACACAGATCTTGCTAAATAAATTGTAACAATTCAGAATTAAGAATCAACCTCTTCATCTCAAGCAGTATTAGTTTATTAGTAACAGAAGATTTCTGATCAGGAAAGTTACTCCCAATGTTTATGATTATGCACAAATAAGATGTAAAATCCCAAACCCCACCTGCACATTCTCCATGCACAAGGAAACTGTTCACACTGGCAGGCAGGAACAGAAATTCCATCTGACAAATAACCCACCTATCTTGTGGGGCAATGCTTCTTAGGAGGTCTTCTATGTTAGGGAGGGTTTTATTTCGAATGCATGGAAAACTGCCAAGAGAAGCAGAGACTACAGAAGCCTCCATGAGCAGGTGGTATAATACCCTTACCTAAATCACCCTCATCAAAAAAATCCTTCTCAGTCTGAGGATGGATGCATCTCACTGAGGCATCATCCCACTGATGGAAGCTGCAACAGCAAAAGTAACATTTCTCCTTTGCAATTAATTAAATACCTCTATGAAGTACCTGAACAGATCCTTTCATTCTATATCCCAGATTATTCTAGGTTACTATACACATTTGGAAAATTAAAGGGAAAAGGGGGGCATACAGAATATCGTGGCACCTTAGAGACTAACAGATTTGTTTTGGTGTGAGCTTTCAGGGACCAAAATCCATTTACTGAAACACAAAGAAAGATAACCTCAGGAAGTAGATCTTGACCCATGAAAGCTCACAATGAAACAAACCCATTACAGATTTCTTTTTCCTTTTTCTGTTTTCCCTTTGGTTTTCCCAACATGCTAAAACAGACTCACATGGCTACCACTTTGGAAATTAAAGTAACTGAAGTACTTACTTCCTTCTCCATAAAACAAGAGGCCATTGTAAAATTTTGTTTCTGCCTGGAGAAAAAAGCAGAGATGTTTTTCTTTGAATGAGAAGTCTATGAAGGTTCAAAGGGCATGGAAAATATACAGATACATCTTGAAAATATATGTGAACTATAACATATAGACAAAAGTCATTTTTCAAATTCTAAGAAACATTACCTCATGTTTTAAAGTTTTGATTTCACAGCAAAGGGCAGCATACACAGTGATAACTTTATTTAGAACCTGGATTTATAAAAAAAAACAGGAAAGGTTAAGGCACCATTACATATATTTTGTTTTTATTTATTTATTTAACTTATTTTTACCCCGCCTTTCTCCTTAAAAAGACCTAGGGTGACTTACATTATTAAAAGACTAGGACACAACCCATATAAAACTACAACTATAGATTCAGCAAAAAAATGACTGGCAGCAGAATTCACGGCTTAATAAAGGCAAAGCGTGCTGCTTATATACTGCCCCATAGCGCTTCAAGCACTCTCTGGGCGGTTGACAAGTTAATTATGCAGGCTACACACTGCCCCCCCAGCAAGCTGGGTCCTCATTTTACCAACCTCGGAAGGATAGAAGGCTGAGTCAACCTTGAGCCAGCTACCTGGGATTGAACCCCAGGTCGTGAGCACAGTTTTGGCTGCAGTACAGCATTTTAACCACTGCGCCACGAGGCTCCTCAATACTCCATATTTCATTTATCAGCTTTGACTCTGCAAAGATACAAGTCCATTTGATTTCTCCTTTCTCCAAACTTTCTCACTCTGAATTATCAGTCCAAGAACCAAAGCTTATAAAAGTTACCTTCTGGGACTACATCTCATAGGATTGCAACTTCTTCACATTCTGGTGAATATTTTGTAATTCAAGAACTGGTCCCTGCGTTTCTTTTCTTCTCCTCACCCCAACCCTTATTTTTTTCTTTTGTGCTATATTTAGCAGATAGAAAGCTTAAATGCAGAGACTGTATTGTTTGTTACTGATATTAAATGAGATACATGGGCAGCTTTGTTGACTAAAGAACAGGAAAAAATACTATAAAACAAAGAATGCTCAAAGGATTTTAAAAATTAATAATAATTTCTGTAACAGTTATCTCAAACCTAAGGTCCTTACCTTATTTTCTGTCTTTATGAGTTCAAGTAAGGAAGACTGTTCATAAGGCAAAAGCTAAAATTAAACAAAAAGAAGTCATTTCAGGAAAAAGAAAGGCTTGCCGTATGACAAAGCAAAACTAACCAAATCACACTAAAAGAGTTATTTCAAGCTGAATCCAACTGCAATTACTTAGAGCATAAAGCTTTATGATGCTGTTCTGCAACAATGATTAATTCTCTTAAAAAAACTTATCCAACTTCTCCATAAAAACATATACAGAGAGCTGTGAGTTCTCATACAAAAACATTCTAAGAAGATAATACATAAATGTTTGCAATCTAGCAGGATAGAAGTCTACCAAGCAATGACTTACCATGATTTATGACTAAGACAACCAGTATATTACAACTAGAAAGAGAAAGAGAGGAGAGGTGCTTCTTCTAAAAGCATAATCTATGAGGGCCTTTTTCAAGTTATATCTTTAAATGAGACTACTCACTGTAACACAAATGTATAGTTCCTGGAAAATTTGAATCCCAGGAAATAATAAGCCCCTTCAATTTTTTTTAAAAAGGATTAGACCGTAAATAATTCATAAAATAATTGGTTAATGATTAACTACAGTCTTAATCCAGAGGAGCCTATAAAGTGGAAAACAGCTCAGTAGGTATAAATACATACATATGGTCTAGTATGGCAGTGATTTAGTACTTTTCTGACCACACTTGAAGACTTCACTTCAAACATGAAGACTTCAGGGACATTTAGATGGGGGTAAAAGGGATGAAAAATGAAGTGATCAGACTGAATCTTGAGATCTCAGCCTAAAAGATCAATTTTAACTACTCAAGATGGCTGAGCTAACACTAGGCCAACAGGGACTGCACCACATGGAACATCGATCAATTTTAACTACTCAAGATGGCTGAGGGATGGCTGAGCTAACACTAGGGCAACAGAGACTGCACCACATGGAACATACCATCCCAGTTTAGGGATGGTTGAAATTTCTTAGGACTATCCTACTCCCAAAGCTAGGTTTGTCTCAGCATAGTTGCTGCAAGTCTGAGCTAAGAGAGGTATGGATCTAATGTTAACTCAGCTCTTCCCCAACCCTCCCTTTGGGAGGGGGGAGGTGATCTTCTACTTCAGTGGTTCTTAACCTTTGTTACCCGGATGCTTTTGAACTGCAACTCCCAGAAACCTCAGTCAGGACAGCTGGTGGTGAAGGCTTCTGGGAATTCCAGTCCAAAACTCCTGAGTAATCCAAGGTTAAGAACCAGTGTTCTACTTGATCACAGCTAGCACAACACTCTTGCTGGCAGATCCAGCTGTATCAGCCAATTTGAGATCAGCCAAAACAAAAGGATTGTGCCTTCACAGAACACGTCTGCCCAGGACAAATCCACTACAGCTGGCGTATTTTGTGCTTTATTAACACTCCACAGTTCATACTGTATACCAGCTTTTAAAAACAAATTCCTCACTATGACTTCTATGCCTTTTAATCTTTGTGTCTTATGCTATACAGATGTACACTGAGTAGTCTCATTTAAGAATATAGCTTGAAAAAGCTCCTCATAGACTACATTTCTTAAAGAGACAAGAAAATCATACCATTAGCTCCTAAACAGACCAACTGAGAGGATTCAGCTACAGCAGCTCCTCCCAACTTTCTTTCTCATTACTTAAAGTCCAGTGTGCAAGGCAGGAAAGCAGACGTTTATACCAGGTGGAAGGTTTAAGTGAGTGGAAGGCAAGAAAGCAGAAATTCAGAATGTGGGGAATGTATGCCTTCACTTCTTACCATCTGTGTTTTCGTTTTCTATGCAATTTTAAATACCAATTCAATTGCATTCAAGCAACTTGTAGCTTAGGAAAAATTACAGGTGTGTAACTTTTTTAATATAAGTCTGTTTAGCTAAACAGACCCTCATATATATAAACGTCTGTTTAGCAAAAGCAACCACTATAAAAAAACAAACTGCCAAATAAATGTACCACTTTTTTCCTATACGTTTTCAAAACAACTGGATATTAAATGATTCAGCTCAGTCCTACACATAACTTCATTACTTAATACTTTTTATGGTAAAAAAAAGATGGAAGTGGTAGAAAAACCACTGTCAGTTACAAGTGAAAAAACATCAAGGTTTCAAGCCACCCCCATAGAGTCCTATGTCTGAAGTATAGGGTCATACAGTAAAACCCTAATCTGGAAATTTGTTATGTTGCCATCATGTCAGGATTGACTTATAGCAATCCTATTGTGTTTTTAACATAAGTCAGACATTTAAGGAGTATCTTTTACCAATTCTACCTCCATGAGTTTCCATGACAGAGCTGGGGAATCGAATCCAAATCCATAACTCTATTCACTATACCACACTGGGTACCAAAGCAGAAAAGCATAGGTTTAAATAAAGGGATGCATACATATTGTATTCAAACATACATTTAATGCAATGGGATCAAGATTGAAGTCCCAAACATCTCCTACAGAGTCATCCAGTGCATCTTCAATTCTCTTCAGCTGGGAAGTATATGCTTCAAGGAATTTCTCATAATTCTTCAATTGCACTTCAACATGGATTTCTAAAAATACATAGTATTTAATTATGTTAGGTTATTTAACAGAATCACCCTTAATCTACTTTGTCTTGAATGTTCAATAATGGGAAAAATCTACATGAGAAGGTTGCTATTCAGGTAGTTATTCTGCCTTGCACCTGTTTTAGTTTATTAAAAAGTTACTTCCCACAAAGGATATGTTTTCCACTTGGCTTATTACACTGCTGCATCTGCAAATTCATTTCTCCACCTTTTTGTCCAAAGCAAAAAGTGAAGCAACGTATCACCCAAACTTTCTGACAGTAACCTTTAATCACTTTAGGTTCTCAAATGTAACTTGCCACTGCACATATTTTTATAGTGACGTCTTCAGTAATTACACAGCAGTGTAATGAAAGTAATACAATTTCTCAGTCCTATTCACTCATTCATAAATACTAAACAAACACGAAAACACTGTTTTAGTGATAAATGATGCTCTGGGTCCTTTTGGGGAGAAAAGTAACACAGAAATATTTTAAATAAATAAATTCATTCCCTTTATGACTGATATTCTCTGGGGTCTAGGACAACACACACACGCACACACACAAAACAATAGTGGTCAAGATCTGTGTACCGTATGTCTTCCCAAATCCAGCAGCCCTCCATGTCATCCAAATCATGCTCCAAAGGATTTCCCAAGTCTGGATCAAATTTATGGTACAAAGTTTTATGTACAAATTGCTGCAGAGGAATTGCTGATTCTGATGGAAGCAGTGGGATATAGGAAAAGTATACCACTGGTTCCTGAGCATTAAAACATTTTACATCAGTTGAACTGTGAGGTACATGTGGTCTCCCATCCATTTGTGCGGCCACCAGAGACCCCTAAAATTTACCTTGATGATTAGGGTGTGTGTGACAGAAGGGGGAACTGTCACACAGTCCTTCAACCCCAAAAGAAGTTTTACGTAATTCTTCTGTCACTACTGTTCTCGTTTTGCTTGGCTGGTACGGTCAAGACCAACCAGTTTTCAAGGAGATGAAAACTGGCTCTTGGACCCCTCGTGTGCCTTATAAAAAACAATAACTACAGTAATGCAAGTATTCAATGGAATTAAATTAGAGAGGGAAAGTTAAAAAAAGGAGAAAAAATCCACTACATACCATTAAAGGCCACTGGGGGAAATCAAACTCCCAGTCTCTAGTCTGCAGCCAGATACCTAAACCTCTGAGTTATATAGCCAGCAGTCTTTCATATAGCCCCTCAAATTGGTTAAGTTTTAAGTTCACTACACTTGGAATTCTGCACGCAAGCAAACCAGAAGGCGTATTCTGTGGACTATGACGTGCCCTCCAAACAAAAAATGTGGACACAACATTTTGCACATAGTGCCCATCACTGCCACCTCGCCTTTCAGGAGCAGTGTTGAAACCAAGAGCACAATTGGCTGCATATTTAATCTTTCAGAGGATATTTAGGTTACCTACTGACCAACAAGAACAAGGAAAAGACTCTGTGGCCCCCAAGATTATGCAAATATAAGAGTGAGCTATACCTTTTACAGGATCACTAAAAATCACACAAACTGTAAGCTTTCATGGAGAAAAATTTAACTTTTTCAGGCTTAGCACAACCCCTTCATGGGTAGTGCAGAAAAATCGTGTACAGTACTAGAATCCATAAAATGATGGTACATATCTGTGACAGTTGATATCAGTCCTTCAAGGCTGCACTCCCAAGCCTCTTTATAGCGTGGTTTGGAACTTTTACACCCTTCTCTTAGGACCAAAAAGCTGCCAATTACTTCGTGACCAACAAAGCAATCTAGAATAATCTAGAATGAGCTTGTTTCTTTATCTTCATCTAAACTCTCACTGCACAAAAACAACAATTTAGGACAGACACTAAAGGATCAGACAAACATGAGCTGCAGAATTCCAGTTCTGAGCAGTAGTAATTCTAGTATACTGTACTTTTTTAGATACTGTACATCCATTTCTTGGCCACCATTAACGTCAAACACTAAACTCTCAAATTATTTTACCATGACTTAATTTTTCTGGCTTAAGTAGAGAGTAGCAGCTAGAATAAAGACTCACTATGTCTAAATGGGAGAAAGAATATACTTAATGGAAAAACACATAACAGGAACACAAGGATTCAGAGGACTTTTGTATTTACAGTAATTAAGTATCAGAAAGAACAAACATACAGTATTACTAATCAACAATTCTAGAATCAATTATAGTATTCTAGAGTAACTAGATGAAAGAGACATGGATAGATGGTGGCAAAGCGGTAAGAAAATATTATTGAAAGCAGGGGAACAGCTTTTCATTAAGAAAATAAAGTATGTATTCAATTGCAATAAGGGACACACATGTAGAGGAACCATGCTACAGTCCAGCACAGGAAACACAAATGATTGTTACAGTCATGTAAAATGTTCTGACTGTGTTGCAACAACAGAAAAGTCCAACTGAATATCCACACTGAGAAAATATATCACACCCAACATTATTGAACCTGTGCCATATGCATAATGTTCTGCTCTTTATTCAGTATTCTAAATGGGTCACCACCCCAATTTTTCTATTCACAGTAACTAAGAGATCAGAATTCCTCTTTTTATGCTCATGCTACAGACCACTTAACCACACACACTTTACAACTTTAACCACTGTCCCAATTGCAAAAATGAAAAGCTATAGAAAATGGGTAGATATATTATCAGCAAACAGATATAGATATAACAGTGACATTAATTGTTTTGGCACTGCTAACAATGGGACCAAAGGATGCTATTTTATTTTAGATTAATCAATCCAGGAAAAAAACCACAATAATTCACTGTGGAAGAGAACAGCTTTTAAATAATTACAAGCATGTTCATTATTTTCTAGTCATACTAGTCTATTACAACAGAAACAAAATCTTACAGCCCTTGATGCCTAATAAATTACTATGGTATAAGATTCCATAGTCCTCAAGAATTTAGGCTTTTAAATGCTTTAAGATGCCCCCAAATCTAACTATTGGCCATATAACATTAACTTCTAGATGAAGTTCCAAGAAATCAAAGGGAAATTTAAGCCTAGATTAGGAATGCTGAAAGATAAACAGGGAAGCACACTATATGACCAGAAGTTGGAAACAATATACTGTACTGAACAGAAGGGACAAAAGGATGACAGACTTCTTTGAAGAAGAATCCTATGATGAAGAACCTACATTTCTAGAAGGTGAAGTGAAAACTGCTCTGAAAGCACTGGGAAGAAATAGGTAATCAAGGATAGATGGGATACGAACAGAACTGTTTCAAGCCACAGAGACTGAAACTAACAAAGTCCTAAAAGATATACTGTACTGAACAGAAGGGACAAAAGGATGACAGACTTCTTTGAAGAAGAATCCTATGATGAAGAACCTACATTTCTAGAAGGTGAAGTGAAAACTGCTCTGAAAGCACTGGGAAGAAATAGGTAATCAAGGATAGATGGGATACGAACAGAACTGTTTCAAGCCACAGAGACTGAAACTGACAAAATCCTAAAAGGAATATGCCAACAAATATGGAAAACAAAACAATGGCTCACAGATTGGTAATATTCAATATACATACCAATCCCCAAGAAAGGAGATGCCAAGGAGTGCAGTCAACTCCATCATTCTAATTTCATATGCAAGCAAAGTGATGCTCAAGGTGTTGTAATGAAAGCCTTTATCTTATATGGAGAAAGAAATGTCTGATGTTCAAGCTGGAGTCAGAAATAGAAAAAGCACTTGAGATCATATTGCAAATACCCGTTCACTACTGGAGTGCACCAAGGAATTTCAGAAAAAGTTCTGTTTATGTTTTATAAATTATAGTGAAGCCTTTGTAGATTATGAGAAGTTATGGATTGTTCTGAAAGAAATGGGTGTGCCACAGCAATTAATTGTCCTGATGTGTAACCTCTATTGTGGACAAGATGCTACTCTGAAAGAAATGGGTGTGCCTCAGCAATTAATTGTCCTGATGTATAACCTCTATTGTGGACAAGGTGCTACAATTAGGACAGAATATGGACAGACAGAATGGTTTCCTACAGGCAAAGGTGTCAAACAATGGGATATGTTATCTCCTTATTGGTTCAATGTAGATGCAGAACATATACAGAAAGCTGTATTAGATTCAGAAGGAGTAAAAATTAGTGGAAGAAATGTCAGTATTTTAAGATATGCAGATGACACCACTTTGCTAGCAGAAAGCAGCAATGACTCCAAATGACTAGGGAAAGTGAAAAAAGATAGCGCCAAAGTAGGACTGCAGTTGAACATTAGGAAGACAAAAATTGTGGCTACAGTACTAAAAAACTACACAGCTTTAATGTTTACAGTTAAGAAATTGAAACTGTTAAAGATTTTGTATGCCTTGGTTCAATCATCAAGCCAAACAAAGATTGAAGTCAAGAAACCAAGTCTGAGACTCTAAAGAACAGCAATAAAGGAATGAGAAAAGATCATCAAGTGTGTCATCAGAGAGCAAGGCCAAGATCACCCACACTATTGTACAGTATTCCCTGTTACTATGTATGGGTGAAGTATGGTATGGACAGTAAGAAAGCTGATACGAAGAAAATTGATTTGTTTGAAATATGACCCCGGAAGAGAGCTTTTGTGGGTACCCTGGATTGGCAGGAAGACCAGCAAGAGGGTTCTAGGTCCAATCAAGTCTGAATGATGTCTGGGAGCAAAAATGTTGAAAGTGAGGCTGTCCAACCTTGGGCACATCATGAGAAAGCAATATTCACTAGGGGGGGGAAACCAAAACAATAATGCTGGGAAAAGTTGAGGGTAGCCGGAAAAGAGGAAGACCAAATACGAGATGGGCTGACTCCCTAAAGGAAGCCATAGCCTTGAGTTTACAAAACCTGAGCAGGAGGAAATTTTGGAGAGAGAGCACTCATTCATAGGGTCGCCAAAAACCGCCCAGGGCCCCCCCCCCCCCCCCGCCACGAGCCGGGTCCGGCGGGGAAGGAAAGGGGCGAAGTTCCTGGGGCGGAAGGACCCATCTCACAGGACGCGGGGGGGGGCTGAATTCGACCTGGCAGGAGGAGCCTTCGCGACCGCCTTGAGGGAGGACGGATGGCTCTCCCTGGACGCCCTTATTTAGTTTCTCTCTGAGGAAACCCGCGTCCCGCCTCCCCCAACCCTTACTTTGAGAGCCGTCGTCGACGCGGTCGAAGTCCCACTCCGGCGAGAGCGTCTCCAGCGCCATGACAAACGCGCACCCAACACTGGCGGCGGTAGCGGCAGCCTCTACCCCCCTCCCCGTCCTCCTGCCAAACCGAAAGACACGGGACTTCCTGCCACGCCCTCTCGGCATTCTGGGAAATGTAGTCCTCTGGTCCCGAGGGAAATTTGAGGCGGGCAACTGCGGCAAAATTAAGGATTCAACAGTGACTCCTTCCGGGCAAAGCGTAAATTAAGGACTCGCGGTTGCCCTTCGAAAGCGGCGGGAGGAACGTGATGCCTTCTCCGGTGGTTTTTTTCCCCCACCATAAACTAGCTCGTAAAAGAAGACAGTAATCGGTTCATAGGAAGGGGTTGTTTCAATAAGCTGTCTTTCAGCAATTCAACTCTATACTTTCCAAGGAAACCCTAAAAACAAACCAGTTTGCAGTCCGTAATACAGTTATGTCGTCTCAAAGCTATATGTCCCCAATGTAAATACACTTATCTGGCAGATTAAGAACAGGTAGATGTGTTAGTTTGTGAATGTTTCTCAGGCAAAACAACCAAAATATAAAACCTGTGACACCTTAAAAACTGATATATTTTAATCTGAGCTTTTGTAGACAGTTCCACTTCCTGTTGAGTGATATCAAGCTGGAAGAAATGTCATTGAGCCCAGCTAGACTTACTTCTGAGTAGACATGGCCAGGCATGTACAGGCTAGCAGGTCTATCCTGCAGGCATTTACTTAACAGTATAACCATTTAGCTAGGAAATAACCTCACTGACCTCACTTTTGAACGGGTAGCATATGTAGGGTCACAATTCTAGGTTTTGGGGTTTTTTTTTCATAACTAAATATTGCTTTTTATTTATTTTACCTTTCAGCAAAACAAGATAACTTCCAACATTACAATTCAGAAGAGTACAATATTCAGTGAAATCTTTACAACAGCACCACTGGGTAGCGTAGGCAGGAGTCTGAGAGCTATAACTAGAGAAAGTAACTTCTCTGCACTCTGTCCTGTGGTGGAGCAAACATGGCATCCCTTTGCCTAAGTCACAAGGTGCAGAACCAAGATCAACAACATTATGTGGCGACTAACACATAAAATGCCATGATAGCCTCCCTCCAGCAATACACAATTTTACAATAAATATATGCAGACTTTTAATGACATTCCAGAATCAAATTCTTGATGTGGCTTCCTCACACTCTGTTAAATGTAACTGTGAAGGAGTGATAGACCAAAAACAGAAAGAACAGAGTGAGCCTTCCCCTCGAATAGAAACGTCAGAGTGAGAGAGAGAAATAGGCGGAGGGAAGATAACAGAGAGTGAGAAATTGACTGCAGAAGAAGGAGAAAGAAAAGAATCAAAGTGTTTTGTGGAAGAGGGAGAAGGAAAAGAAGAGGATGAGTTAATTCTGCCAGTGTGGGAAGGGGATATAACAGATCAAAGTGGGATGATAGAGTTTAGTGTACTGAGGAGAGAGAAAGTGAAGGAGGAGGGAGACAGGAGAAAAAAGATGAACACAGATATGAAAAAATGTGTGGGTTACAGTGAAGGAGGAGGGAGACAGGAGAAAAAATAATGAACACAGATATGAAAAAAATGTGTGGGTTATTAGAAGATTTCCCTAGTTTGAAGGTAGGAGGATTACTAGCTGACCCCAACGAGATTCCTCTTCTGTATGTTTCACCTAAATCCATTATTTTTAATTGTTCATCTAAATAGTCCCAAGAGACATTGTCGAATGCTTTTTCTGCATCCAAAAAGATCAAAGCAGCAGGTTTGTCAACTTTGTGTTCATAATATTCTAAGGCACCGAGAATGATTCTTAAGTTATGACAAAGTTGTCTTCCAAGTAAAAAGCCATTTTGGTCTTTATGGATGAAATTAATTAAAATGTCTCTAATTTTAGTCTACCATAATTGTTGCAAAGATTTTATAATCAACGTTTAAAAAGGAGATTGGTCTGTAATTTTGTATTAACTATGAATTATTTCCTTCTTTTGGTATAAGAGTAACTGTTGTTTCTTGCCATGTGCTTAGGATCATTCCTTTATTTCAGTTATCACTTCTTTAAAGGGGGTAGCCAAGATTCCTTCAAATTATTTAAAATATTCTGCTGGAAGGCCATCTGGGCCTGGAGATTTTTCATTTTTCTGGTTTTTAATCCTCTGCATTGCAGAAATCTTCCAGTAGGCGGATTGCTTCTTATAACTTCTTGGGGTGATTCTTTTGCACCCAATTTCGTAGGCTACTGCCCAACATCGTTACTAGTTGTTCCATCACAAGTATTTCCAATAGTTGTTCTTTAGATTTATCTTTGGGTATTAGCCATCGTATCAGGTTAGCTTTCATTGTGTTAGTGGACACGGATGCACCCAACTCTGCTTCAGTCACAGGTAGCTGCTCCAGGTTCACTCAACCTTCCATCTTTCCAAGGTCAGAAAAATGATTACCCAGCTTGCTGGAGGGGGGGAGGAATGTGTGGCCTACATAATTAACTTGTAAACTGCCCAGAGATTGCTTTAAGCACTATAGGGCAGTATATAAGCAGCACACTTTGCTTTGCTTTACTTTAAAAATGGATAAGATCTCAACATTACTGAAAGCAAATGGACAATATGGGGACTTTGAAGAAAGATGGTCAGAATTTTATAAATTCCTAGGTCAACATTACAAGTTAAATCAAAGATTCGCCTTGCATGTCTGAAATGGAAAGATGAAAATCTAAAGAAATATAATTGTGTGGAAAGATACTGAATTTTGTTTGAGACTGTTATAATGATACCTATTTTTTTTACCTTTATTGTTGAAAATTAATTTAAAAATAATAAAAAAAAACACCTCCCAGAACATTGGAAAGATGGAGAAGGGAAACTGACAAAAATTAGTGAGCTCCTCTTTCAGGTTACAGTTATCTCTGATCCATTAATGCAAGGCCTTTTAACTGGCTTTGTTTTCCTTTCTAACTAACTTTGGGTTATCTGTCGGCAAATGCCAGGTATGGGGAAATTGGCCTCCTTCCCGCCCCCAGTTTTTTCATGTCAGGAAACAGAATCTCTTTGTCTGGAGACAAATAATATGACAAAGGAGGCTCACTTTGGTACCATCTGGACACAGATTTATTAAAAATATCCAGCTTTGTAACTTCTCCATGCTGGTCCATTATCTCATAGTTTGGCCAAGACTTTGTTACCATGGCAACCATTCATGTACAGTGGGGTCTTGACTTGAGAACTTAATCCGTATTGGAAGGCGGTTCTCAAGTCAAAAAGTCTGTAAGTCAAGTCTCCATTGACCTACAGTGCACTGAAAACCGATTAATCCCGTAACAGGCCGTTTTTGTTCCATTTTGTTTTTTTTTCTGGTCTATAAGTCAAATCTCAGTCTGCAAGTCAAAACTAAATTTTGCGGCCAGAGAAGTCTGTAACTCAAAAAGTCTGTAAGTCAAGACGTCTGTAAGTCAAGGGTCCACTGTATCTTTTCCCACATTCTAGAATCTAGATGACCATACCAAGGAAAATCTTCGTCCACTCTTCCATCAAGAAGCAGAGTCATACTGCATGTGAATCCTCTTTCAGTTTGATTCCATAGCTCTGTAGGATTCTCTACCCCTTGTATCCTTAGCCCTGGAAATAGGAGAAGAATAACAGCTTAATTTAGCAGTCTGACAGGACTTTTTCAAGTTTGGGGTCATTCTCCTGTCAGTTTATTTATTTATTTATTTATTTACTTAATTATATCCCACATTTCTTCCAAAAAAGGGAACACAAGACAGCATACAACAATTTTAAAAGACACATATAAAACCACAAAAAAATAGGTATTATTTTGCTGGCAGAAGGATGGTAAGGAAGGGACCAATCTAGCTTTGGGAGGCAGGGAATTCCACAGCTGCCACTGAAAATGCCCTTTTAGGTCCCAGCAAATGTTCCCATAATAGTGGTGGGGGCAAGAGAAGGCTGAGAAAAGGTGCTCCCACAGGAGGCTAGACTGGGCCCATCTTTACTGTCCCTCTGCAAGCAGGCAAAGACCTTTCTCTTCAGGCAAGCTTTCCCTGAGTGAGTGACTGACTGAGTGGGTCTTTAAAATGGATTTTTGTACCTTACTACATTGAATGTGTCTTGATGTTCCTTAAGTTTTCTGGCACTCATTTATTGCTCCTTTTAGTATTGTATGTTCACTGTTATTAGCTTAAATACTGTCTTTTAATTGTTTTAAGCTGCTTGTGTTCTTTTATTGGAAGAAAGGTAAGATATTAATAAAGTAAATAAATAAATAAATAAATAAATAAATAAATAAACAAACAAACAAACAAACAGATAGGAAAATGAATCCAAATTTGAGTCATTCCTTTTTAAGGAGAAACATGGATTGAAAATATTTTAAATAAGTACATAAATAAATAAGGTTCAGTTCTAACGTTTCTTTTTAATAAAAAGTAATGGAAGGTAGTGAAAAAGTAAGAGAAGTACAAAAATAATATAATTAGTTATAATACAGTTTCAATTACTACACCAGCAAATAATTTTTAAATACAGCAATGAATAACAGGAATGATTTTTTTTAAGTTGCTTCTCAAGCTCTGACCATCTCATGATTAAAAGCAGGGACCATGATTTTTTCCCAAGTATTTCTCAGTGGGGATGTTGACCTATTTGCTTGAGTCAAGTTTCTTGACAGACTACTATGTGCTTTTTGACAGACTGGTAATGTCTTTAAACAACTTTTAGGGAAAATGAAAAAAAAAGTGCCAAAGTAGGATTGCACTTGACTGTTAAGAAGACAAAAAAGCATGGCTATGGAAGAATGACACTAAGGTTGTGAAGAACAACAATGTATCACAATACAGAAATTAAAATAGGAATACAGAGCATGGATAGATTTCCTACTCCAGTCCTCTGAAGATGCCGGCCACAGAGACTGGCGAAACGTCAGGAAGAACAACCTTCAGAACACGGCCAAAGAGCCCGAAAAACCCCACAACAACCATCAGACAAAATCCTGTTTCTTTCTTACAAAAAACATAATCCCTACATCATTTCATCTGTCCTTCTATCAAACCCCCTCTTGGTCTTATCTTCCATGCCAGCATTTTGGCCATTCTGGTTGCTTTGCTAGCCAGCAGAGCTCAGGTACTTTTATCAAATCAACCAGCTTTTTCACTCCCCCTCTCCATGCATTACCACGCT